ACGTCTATAACATCCGTGTGGGTAGAACACATATCTATAACATCCGTGTGGGTAGAACACATATCTATAACATCCGTGTGTGTAGAACATACGTCTATAACATCCGTGTGGGTAGAACACATGTCTATAACATCCGTGTGGGTAGAACACACATCTATAACATCCGTGTGGGTAGAACATACGTCTATAACATCCGTGTGGGTAGAACACATATCTATAACATCCGTGTGGGTAGAAAACATACCTAAAACATCCGTGTGGGTAGAACACACATCTATAACATCCGTGTGGGTAGAACACACGTCTATAACATCAGTGTGGGTAGAACACACGTCTATAACATCCGTGTGGGTAGAACACACATCTATAACATCCGTGTGGGTAGAACACACGTCTATAACATCCGTGTGGGTAGAACACACATCTATAACATCCGTGTGGGTAGAACACACGTCTATAACATCCGTGTGGGTAGAACACACATCTATAACATCCGTGTGGGTAGAACACACGTCTATAACATCCGTGTGGGTAGAACACACATCTATAACATCCGTGTGGGTAGAACACACGTCTATAACATCCGTGTGGGTAGAACACACGTCTATAACATCAGTGTGGGTAGAACACACATCTATAACATCCGTGTGGGTAGAACATACGTCTATAACATCCGTGTGGGTAGAACACATCTATAACATCCGTGTAGGTAGAACACATATCTATAACATCCGTGTGGGTAGAACACACATCTATAACATCCGTGTGGGTAGAACACACGTCTATAACATCCGTGTGGGTAGAACACACGTCTATAACATCAGTGTGGGTAGAACACACATCTATAACATCCGTGTGGGTAGAACATACGTCTATAACATCCGTGTGGGTAGAACACATATCTATAACATCCGTGTGGGTAGAACACATATCTATAACATCCGTGTGGGTAGAACACACATCTATAACATCCGTGTGGGTAGAACACACATCTATAACATCCGTGTGGGTAGAACACACATCTATAACATCCGTGTGGGTAGAACACACATCTATAACATCCGTGTGGGTAGAACACATATCTATAACATCCGTGTGGGTAGAACACATATCTATAACATCCGTGTGGGTAGAACACATATCTATAACATCCGTGTGGGTAGAACACACATCTATAACATCCGTGTGGGTAGAACACACGTCTATAACATCAGTGTGGGTAGAACACACGTCTATAACATCCGTGTGGGTAGAACACACATCTATAACATCCGTGTGGGTAGAACACACATCTATAACATCCGTGTGGGTAGAACACACGTCTATAACATCCGTGTGGGTAGAACACACGTCTATAACATCCATGTGGGTAGAACACATATCTATAACATCCGTGTGTGTAGAACATACGTCTATAACATCCGTGTGGGTAGAACACATGTCTATAACATCCGTGTGGGTAGAACACACATCTATAACATCCGTGTGGGTAGAACATACGTCTATAACATCCGTGTGGGTAGAACACATATCTATAACATCCGTGTGGGTAGAAAACATACCTAAAACATCCGTGTGGGTAGAACACACATCTATAACATCCGTGTGGGTAGAACACACGTCTATAACATCAGTGTGGGTAGAACACACGTCTATAACATCCGTGTGGGTAGAACACACATCTATAACATCCGTGTGGGTAGAAAACATACCTAAAACATCCGTTTGGGTAGAACACACATCTATAACATCCGTGTGGGTAGAACACACGTCTATAACATCAGTGTGGGTAGAACACACGTCTATAACATCCGTGTGGGTAGAACACACATCTATAACATCCGTGTGGGTAGAACACACGTCTATAACATCCGTGTGGGTAGAACACACATCTATAACATCCGTGTGGGTAGAACACACGTCTATAACATCCGTGTGGGTAGAACACACATCTATAACATCCGTGTGGGTAGAACACACGTCTATAACATCCGTGTGGGTAGAACACACATCTATAACATCCGTGTGGGTAGAACACACGTCTATAACATCCGTGTGGGTAGAACACACGTCTATAACATCAGTGTGGGTAGAACACACATCTATAACATCCGTGTGGGTAGAACATACGTCTATAACATCCGTGTGGGTAGAACACATCTATAACATCCGTGTAGGTAGAACACATATCTATAACATCCGTGTGGGTAGAACACACATCTATAACATCCGTGTGGGTAGAACACACGTCTATAACATCCGTGTGGGTAGAACACACGTCTATAACATCAGTGTGGGTAGAACACACATCTATAACATCCGTGTGGGTAGAACATACGTCTATAACATCCGTGTGGGTAGAACACATATCTATAACATCCGTGTGGGTAGAACACATATCTATAACATCCGTGTGGGTAGAACACACATCTATAACATCCGTGTGGGTAGAACACACATCTATAACATCCGTGTGGGTAGAACACACATCTATAACATCCGTGTGGGTAGAACACACATCTATAACATCCGTGTGGGTAGAACACATATCTATAACATCCGTGTGGGTAGAACACATATCTATAACATCCGTGTGGGTAGAACACACGTCTATAACAGCCGTGTGGGTAGAACACACGTCTATAACATCCATGTGGGTAGAACACACGTCTATAACATCAGTGTGGGTAGAACACACATCTATAACATCCGTGTGGGTAGAACATACGTCTATAACATCCGTGTGGGTAGAACACATATCTATAACATCCGTGTAGGTAGAACACATATCTATAACATCCGTGTGGGTAGAACACACATCTATAACATCCGTGTGGGTAGAACACACATCTATAACATCCGTGTGGGTAGAACACACATCTATAACATCCGTGTGGGTAGAACACACATCTATAACATCCGTGTGGGTAGAACACACATCTATAACATCCGTGTGGGTAGAACACATATCTATAACATCCGTGTGGGTAGAACACATATCTATAACATCCGTGTGGGTAGAACACACATCTATAACATCCGTGTGGGTAGAACACATGTCTATAACATCCGTGTGGGTAGAACACACGTCTATAACATCAGTGTGGGTAGAACATACGTCTATAACATCCGTGTGGGTAGAACACATATCTATAACATCCGTGTGGGTAGAACACACGTCTATAACAGCCGTGTGGGTAGAACACACGTCTATAACATCCATGTGGGTAGAACACATATCTATAACATCCGTGTGGGTAGAACATACGTCTATAACATCCGTGTGGGTAGAACACACATCTATAACATCCGTGTGGGTAGAACACACGTCTATAACATCAGTGTGGGTAGAACACACGTCTATAACATCAGTGTGGGTAGAACACACGTCTATAACATCCGTGTGGGTAGAACATACGTCTATAACATCCGTGTGGGTAGAACATACGTCTATAACATCCGTGTGGGTAGAACACATATCTATAACATCCGTGTGGGTAGAACACACGTCTATAACAGCCGTGTGGGTAGAACACACGTCTATAACATCCATGTGGGTAGAACACACGTCTATAACATCCGTGTGGGTAGAACACACGTCTATAACATCCGTGTGGGTAGAACACACATCTATAACATCCGTGTGGGTAGAACACACATCTATAACATCCGTGTGGGTAGAACACACGTCTATAACATCCGTGTGGGTAGAACGCACATCTATAACATCCGTGTGGGTAGAACACATATCTATAACATCCGTGTGGGTAGAACACACATCTATAACATCCGTGTGGGTAGAACGCACATCTATAACATCCGTGTGGGTAGAACACATATCTATAACATCCGTGTGGGTAGAACACATAACTAGACCTAGACCTGAGACTTTGACAGCATGCTTTGCTGGTAAACTTGCCTCAAATCCAGAATTCTAGGGAGGATGCTTTCTTAAATAGATTTTTTTCCAATGAATCAAATAGAATGGTTTAGAGACAGGTTTTCATTTTAAAGTCTGTTTTATTCCGCAGGGTTTGGCACTGGTGTATGTTTGAAATGTCCGGCTTCTTATAATAAAGGTTACGGGTATTAGTTGTTTTTGTGTTTTGAAAAAGAATTTAAAAGTAGCTGATGATTGGAATCAGCTAATATTCAACATGAACACATGAATCACTAATCAGCCAACACAAAACTCTAATACGTAACGTGAGTTTGTCAAACTAAGTTAGCTTATAGTTGTGTGTTTCAATATAGTTGCCGGCCGGAGCTCGGCAGTAACTCCCCTCGTCATCATGACACCTCCCTCTGTTGTGCCAAGGCGCAATCGCTCTTCATCAGACAGATAATTACCACGATATCACTACCAAGCAAGGCGAAATGAATGCCGCAAAATTTACCCATCGCCATGCCGGCATGGCGCGTTTATAAGACACACCAATGTGGTGATATTACGCAGATTTGCCGGCACGGTGTGTGTTGTAAAAAGGGCTACAGTCATCTGCAAATATCATAGTCCATGGAGATTCCCGTTTAGCATTATCTGTCAGTCTGTTCATCACCAAAGCAAACTAGATGAGGCTTAGAGCTGATCCTTGATGCACTCCCGCCTTCACCTTGAACTTCTCTACCACTCCGGTCCTCCTCAGGCACCACAGCTCCTCTCTCGGCACCCTGTCATACACTTTCTCCCAAGCGTAACATTGGATGGATAGTGAATCAACGGATGGGTGAATGGATTTTGAATGGATGACTGAAGTGAACTGAACAATCCCTTGAGGTGAAGGTTAGGGTTAGTCATGAGGAGGGTTAATAGGAACGGAATATGTGTGTTGTGGGAGTAGCTGCTTTAATATTCGTCACTTTTGATTTGTCATTCTTTTTTTTTTGTCTATTAATCACATTTTCACTTTGAAGATATTTTTGAAGCACGTTGTGTTTTATTTTCTGTGAAAGGTGCTCTATCCACAAACTTCATTTACAGATATGTTCTTCATCACCAGATGCCGTGGCTCTGTGGCGACGCCACCATGATGGAGATGATTGAGAGAAAGAGGGTTTTGTGTCGAGAGATAAAAGCTCGTCAGCGACCTGAGAAGAACCTTTGCAAACAAGACAGCATGCCCAACCTGCCCAGCTGGAAGAAGAAGCAGCCGCCGCCATACTCGGCCCCGCCCACCTCGGCCGGACACACCGCTACGGTGTTCTGGGACACTGCCATATAATACGCAGGAGAAACAATGCAACCAATCAGGCGGATGATGATGAAGATGATGATGACAATGAAGATAAAGCATCATTAATCCACCCTATTACTTTTCTCTGAGTGATTCCATATATTCAAACCATTATAGTAGCTTTCACTGATAATTAAATATAACGTTTCATCTGCATTTAGCTGTTCTGCTTTGTCACTTCCTCTTACACGACTCCTGTTTCAGCTGGAACACAAACCCAATTAAACAAGAATCACAAGAAATAAATCAGCAAAGAAGCAGAGAAAGTTTTTGCATCTAATTATCTTTAAGATTCATAATAATATCAGTGTATGGGGTGCCATTTGTAAAGTCAAACAGTCATAATCTAACAGCAATATTTTTGGTTATTTAGCATATCATAAGAGAAAAAATTGGGAGTTCACTTTTTCGAAGTCATATTTTCATCATGTTATTCATACATTTATAAATGTTAAAGTTTCCAAATAAATATTTAGTTAGCAAGATAAATATTTAATTTGCGGTTAAATATTTATTTTGCAAACTAAATATTTAGGTCTGATCTAAATATTTAGTTTGTAAAATACATATTTAATTCACTAACTAAATATTTAATTTACTAATTAAATATTTATTTTGGAACTAAATATTTAATTTGTAAATTAAATATTTATTTTCCTAAATAAATATTTAGATCCCAGCTAAATATTTATTTTGGAGCTAAACATTTAGTTTGCAAAATCAGTATTTGGGAAATAAATATTTAAGTCTGACCCCAAAATATAAAATATAGTGTGGAGCTAAATAACATCATGGAAAATAAATATTTAGCTGGGATCTAAATATTTTTTTGGAAAATAAATATTTAATTTACAAATTAAATATTTAATTTACAATTTAAATATTTAGTTCCAAAATAAATATTTAATTAGTAAATTAAATATTTAGTTAGTGAATTAAATATTTATTTTACAAACTAAGTATTTAGATCAGACCTAAATATTTAGTTTGCAACATAAATATTTAACTATAAATTAAATATTTAGCTTGCTAACTAAATATTTATTTGGAAACTCTAACATTTATAAATGTATGAATAACATGGTGAAAATATGACTTTGAAAAAGTGAACTCTCAATTTTTTCTCTTATGATATGCTAAATAACCAAAAATATTGCTCTTAGATTATGACTGTTTGACTTTACAAATGGCACCCCATATCAGCGAATCAATTCAAACACCATCTGGATGCCTGTGTCGTTTTACGTTGCTGCACCAAACATCAGAAATCCTTCACACAAACACTTCATGTAGATTTGAACACTTTGCTCTCTCTCTCTCTCTCTCTCTCTCTCTCTCTCTCTCTCTCTCTCTCTCTCTGTGTGTGTGTGTGTGTGTGTGTGTGTGTGTGTGTGTGTGTGTGTGTGTGTGTGTGTGTGTGTGTGTGTGTGTGTGTGTGTTTCAGTTGGTCCCGCATGTTCAGGGCTGGTGTCAGACCAACGCCGACCCCAACGCTAAACATTCTCACTGTGATGTTTTTTAGTCCAAATGAAGGTGTTATCGTTCCATCAGCCCAGATACGGGCAAACGATGTTCAGGTGTAGCACAGGTTCCTGTCGTCTCCGTCTTCATTTTTGAATCTGGATGAACTTTAGATGTTTTTTTTTTCTTCTTACGTTTGTGTAGCAGAAAGCATGAACTCTATGTGAAAACAAACACAAACGTGTGTTTATATTTACAGAAAAAAGATGGCGATAATTATTTGTGTGTGAAGTATAGTTGGAATGTAAACATTTTTATATTATAAGTATAAAGATTAAAAAACTATTTTAAATTTTTAAAACTTGAGATGTTTGCTGGTTTGTTCCAAACTTTTCTTGTCTGATGAAAACAAACACAAACAATAAGTTCACGTTTACTGTGAAAGACACTTTTTGCTCTCAATTCTATAATAAAGAAGTGTTTTTGGGAGAGTGGTCTTTCACCTTCAACCCTCATTGGTTCACCTACAGAGCCAACAGGTCCACTAGGACTGCAGCCATTGATCGTTTTAAAGGGGACATTACGCAAAACTCAGCTTTTGCATCATTTGTGCTGCTGTGTAGAATCTACTCTAGCAACGCCTCAGTCCAACGCCCCTAGGCATGGAGGCTGTGGGTCCCATTTATAAGGTATGACACGACTGATCTCAAACCCCAATCTCTCAGCCCCAGGACAGACACTCTACCTCTAGGCCACTGAGGAGGTGTTTTCAGAAGAACTATGTATTATTTTATGTTTTGTATAAAAAACAGCTTATTTGTAATAGTTTTTTTCTGCTGAAGCACCTAGTGGTTTTTATCAAAGATGCAGTACAAATCACCTTTTCTTCTTCTCCTCCTACTTCTACATTTTTAAAAAAAATCTACATTTTCTTAAATAATGATTTTATCTGTAAAGGCAAACAGATCATCTGAGACGTACAAGCCTGACTCCTGATTCTGAGGTGGCGTTGATGGGACGTGCCCTTTATCCGCCGCTAGATGGCAGCACATGACATTCTACAATCTTCAGTCTACCGGAAACCCACCGGGAAGAAGAAGACAACCGGATGTAAACGAGCAATGATGCGAACTGCTTCAGCCCAGCAGGTGATTGTTGCTTTGGAAGTTTGTCTCTAGAGCGGACCCGCTGTTCTAGGCTCCACCATGCAGCAGAAATCAGATCTGACGACGGCGGAGGAGACGTTTTACTCTCAAGCTGAGCTAATCATGCAGATAGCGGTGGAGTCCGCCGTCTCGGTTCTACAGAGGTCGGATATACCGTTAACGCAAGCAGCTGGCGGCGGCAACAGCCAGGTGACCGCACGCTGTGCGTGTGTGCGCGCGCGACACAGAACATTTATGCCTCCATACGCGCGCGCGCACACACACTCACACAAACCCTCTCTCTCACACACACACCCACTCCCTCTCTTTCTCGCTCACGCACACATGCACACACACCCTCTCCCTCTCTCTCACACACACACACTTACACTCACACACACATACATACACACACACACATCTATATACATACATAATATGCACTCACACACCACCCCCTCAAACACGCACACACACACACACTTGGATCACTCACTCACACAGATTTACCACCCCCCCCCTCACACACACACACACACTTGGATCACTCACTCACACAGATTTACCCCCCCCTCACACACACACTGATCTCTCGCTCTCACACACATACCGATCACTCAGAGATTTACACACACACACACACACACACACACACACACACACACACACACACACACACACACACACACACACACACTCAGTGTCCCCTATGCTGTTCTCTGTAAAGCTGATGTGAAACAGCCTTGTGTTTCACATTTCCAGGTGCACCTGAACGCAGCGTGACTTCTAGATTTTCTTCCTAAATAATTCCAAGGAGCGGAGGGGAACCTAACAGGCGTGCTTCTGTTATCAGTTATATTACTTGTTGCAGAAACACAAACAGGATACACCCCTTATTAAACACAAGAAACACAGAATAAAATATTTTTTCATGATCGCTTTGGCGCCCCCTCCAGCGTGGCTCCCCGTGAGTTGCACACCCACTTTTTGCACCACTGGTTGGACATTTTTTGTTTGTGATCTGAAGACATCCCGGGTTTTTTCTGAGGTTTCTGTTGTCTGGTCTGATCGGGTCTGTTGCTCTGAGGCTCTGACCGTAGCACTGAGCCTTAAACGCGACACATCGGCTCACCCTGACTTCCCTCCTTTGTAGAGTTTTACGGGGTCTGTGTTTTAAACCAGAACCCGTTTACTTCTTCTGGATAAGTGTGACATGTTCTGTCCTGCAGACTCAGCTGACCGCCGTACTGGCTGTGATGTCCAAAGAGGCTGTTCGTAAAATCTGCAGTGTGTTCAGAGAGCTCTACATGAGCGTGGCGATGGAAAACAAAGCTCTGAAGGAGAAGGTCCGTCTTCTCGAGTGTGGAAAACCTCAGAACCCAAAAACCCATGCAGGTGAGTTTTAAAACCTAACCCAGCTTGTCCTTAAGCAGTCTGAGCCAACAGCAGCATAACTAAAGGGATGAGCCAGGGTTACCCAGTATGCCCAAAGCCTTAAACTCTTTTGATGTTTTTTGTGTTGCATATTTTCATCTGTTCCCTTAGCTTTGTGCAGCAGTGCTCCATTTCCTGTCACCCTCACCATACCGCCGCTCCAACAGCCAATCACAAGCCAGAGCCGCCCGTCCATTCAGGCGCTGCAGGGGAGAGATGCTCCAGATACAGTTAGCATACAAGCTGATGCAGTTTTAGAAATCACTCAGTTCTGCAAAGATGTGGAAATAAATCTGCCGTCACTTCCTGTGTCCAATGATCAACCAACCAGAGGGCCCCCATCTGAAGGAAACCAGCCTGCTGCAAACTTAGAAGAGGAACACCTTCAGGTTTGAAGTGTTTTTTTTTTTGGTGAGATGTTTTCAATTTGGAATATTTTTTAAACCTTTTAACCTGCAGGAGGTCAGAAATGTTAAGTTTACCCTTTCTTCCTACTTTTGGTTTCACTGGATCAGCAGCAGGATGAGCTCAGGTCCCTGAGCCCAGCTTCTCTGTTCGTATTTTTCAGGGTTCAGAAGCAAAAGTGGAACCCAAAAGTCCGACCGTCCCCGAGAGTGAAGCAGGTGAAACATTCTGATTCCCGTTTATATGCTGAAACTCTTCTATATGAATGTAGACCGGCTCCAACCTGGTGTGGAGTAGGGTTGCAGCGATTAAACAGTTTGTCCATTGAACCAACTTCCTCCAACATCTACAATAATAAAAAAAAAAAAAACAAAGCTGATGGCACGCGACCCACGTGGACAAACACACCGCAACTGGAACAGAAACACACAGATCAGAAGCAGAAGAATGCTTGGAGACTCCTGCGGGGATATTTCAGATATCCAGATGCTGAAGGAGAAATTCAGGACATAAAAATGTCTCCAACTCTGAGGTTACGTTCCTTCCAGGAATTATTTAACAATATTAGAACAGTCTAGTGGAAGACTAGACTTGCAGAAGAGGGTTAGGGCCACTGAAAAGAAAAGAAAGAGAATTCAGAATTTTTTTTCTCAGGATTATTAAAGTCAGAGTTCAGAGAAAAGAGTCAGAATTCTTTTTTTTTTTCTTCTCTCAGTGGCCCTAATCCACTTCCGTATTGACCCTTTGCACCGACGTCACCTAATCACGTGGGTCCACCATGGTGGACGGCAAAAGCATGTAAACAGTGAGCGATGCGATTACTAAACAAAGGGAAAAGTAGAGCCTGAAATTGTTTTTACGATCAAAACAAAAACAAAACTCCTCCAGCATTCCTTCCACTAGTTCATTCCCAGTTCAGTTATCAGAAGAGGTAGCGCATCTAGCGGGGGCTCATAGAGAGCGGTATGCTAACTAGCTTACCACCGTTAGCTTACGTTCTCTCTGCAGCTGTTCACCGACGTAAACATGTTGCTGACTTTGCCTAAATTCACCCCTCTGGATTTATAACTTTATGTTATAAACAGCGTTTCACTTTACAAAAAAGCTGATTGTTAAAAAGTCCGGATCCCTACCAGCTTCTGTTGCTGGTGGTGCTACCGGGTTCAGCTGCTGCTCTCACGCCGGAATGAGAAGATCTCTGAACGCCGACACTCATATAAATAAATAACGTAATTTTAACACAGTACAGTACTACGTGGATCCTGCCAACAACGCCAAATGTGGCAAGGTGGATAAACGAGGGCCCGGGCGGGATTCGATCCCCAGACTCCCGGGTGAGTCATACGCTCTAACCAGTCAGCCAAAAGGACATCCCCTTGGTCAAGTAGCCAGGGCGCATGATCTATCGGGACATTGTGACATGATGCTCACACTGCCACACACGTAATCGTACATCGGAGCTTTAATACTGTTAATAATTGTCTCGCTTTACACTACAGTGGACGGCACGCATCCTCCAGGGTGAAATACCGTCCATCAGGATTATCAATAACTTGTATAAACACATCACATTTACCCCTGTCCCTGTCTTCCTCGTGAAATAAATGAACGTTAATCTTACCCGCTAAAAACACGTTCGCTGCAAATCTGAGGCCTGCCAGTCCGCTTGATTGATCGCGGCAGTTCATCTCCGTCCTCAGTCTCCATCAAAGTTATTAAAAAAACAAAACGAGTTGAGTTTACGTCCTTGTCTGTTAGTGCAGCCGACCACGCAGCAAGCTAAAACCATTTTACTGTCAAATCAACTCAATAAAAGCCATAAAAGGCTACAAACGGGCTTGTTTTGACTACCTTCACTGGACTTTCTACGGGTGTAAACGGTCTTTTTGCCGTCCATCATGGCAGAGGCGGCGGCCTCATGAGTGGCGTGACGTCACGTGCAAAGGGTCAATAACCTCACTAGTAAAATTTAAAAATAAAGATATCAACAAGTAGAAATTATAGTAAAGGATTTTCATAATTACAACTGCACTAGTAGAAATTTAACACCTAATTTCATGAATGTGTCTCCATCCTTTAGTGTTAACTGGAATAACCATGTTAACCCTAACCTTGAAGTTGTCAACAGTTAAGATTGCTTGAATCAGCGCTACAGAGTACTGCTACTGCTTGTTGGTTTATGTTTTTATTCGGTTTTTGTTTTGCTGCTGTACTGTCCACTTTCTGCCACGACAATGCAACCTTCCCAGACTGGAACTTACAGCGGAGGGCTCAAGATCTTCTCTGTACATCTGTTTACATCTCAAGACCATCCATTCTCTTCCGCTTATCCGTAGTCAGGTCGCGGGGACTTCCCTCTCCCCAGCCACCTGGGCCAGCTCCTCTGGGGGAACCCCAAGGCGTTCCCTGGCCAGCCAAGAAACACAGTCCCTCCAGCGTGTCCTGGGTCTTCCTTTGAGTCTCCTCCCGTTTGGACTTGCCCAGAAAACCCCACCAGGGATGGTCCAAGGGGCACCCTAACCAGATGTTCAAGCCCCTCCCAGATGACTGAGCTCTATCAATCAATCAATTAAAGATACTTTATTAATCCCAGAGGAAAATTAGAGATTCAATACACACAACTCAGAGATCAGACATACATGGGAAAGACACATGACAAGAATTGGTGACTGTGGTCATTCGCAACCCTGAGTCGCGCTACCTTAATAGAGATAAGAGGGTTACATGAGGATTGGTTCAGGTGGAGGAAAAAAAGGCACTTCAGAGTTACCCTCCACCAGGAGGGCAGCTTTGCTCTGCAAAAAAACACCTCAGACAGAAATGCAACAGACTTCAGACAACACAACATAAGTGTCCACTAGGTGGGGTGGTGGGTTGGGACTATCCCAGCTTCAGTTCCTGCAGCCACGATAAGCAGCGCATGTCACCTCAGTGTGGATAGGGGGAGGAGCATTGAGGGCTGGAGGGTTGCAGTGACCCTGGAACGTTTCAGCGGCCTTCCCGCAGTCCCGCCCAGGCTGGGATAGGAGACAGAGTTGAGTTTCCATAGCGACGGCACATTCCACATATCTTCTTAGGGGGGAGTTTTCGTTGGAGCCTTGCAGGCTCAGGGGCGCCAGATTCCGATTAGAAATTGTTTTGGGGCCAGACAGAGATAATTTCCTCTCTGTCTTACAGTTTGTTGGTCCTCAACCTCTTAGAATCCCAATAATGGATGTTAATCTATCCCAATCCGTGCTGATTCGTCCACTCTCTCCTTGATGGCATCCATCTGTTGTGACAATAATGAATCTTGGCCAAAGTCCCAAGCTTACGATTCATCTCGACAATTATTTGAGTCTGTAATTTCACAGCGCGGTGCAATCCATCTCTGAGCTCCAGGATCCGGCCAATATTCCTCGCCAGCTCGTTAATTTTCCGGTAAGCCAGGTAGCCTCCCAAGGCCAATGAGCAGGAAACCTGACACCAACACCACCAATATCCACACGTCTTCAGAGTCCTCCACAGACAGCTGAGAAAGACAGACCAAGTTCCACTGTTTCCAGGAGTCCATGATGTGTCCAACTGGGTCTGTCCTGGCGGGGCATCCGGGAGCCCCTTCTCCCGTTCTCATCGTTGCAAAAATTTTATCAATTGCGTTGAGAGACCAACTGACGAGATCCATTTAAACGTATTTCAGTTTCCATTTTCCATAAAAATGCAGAAGCAGCCGTGCACCCAGCACACACAGCCAGACAAAGGGCCTTGAGGATAAGATATGGAGGAGAGGAGGAAAAAAGCGTCTGCACCCTCCGAGAGCGGAAGAAAAAGAGCCCTGACACCCTGCTGAGAAAACTCGTTTCGGCCGTTAGTATGTCTGCCAGCCATTCAGGTGGAAGTGCCACTGGTGTCCACGCATTTGTTCAGAGCTGTATCAACCAACAGCCCCACAACATCCAGAAGCCTTGAGGAACCCTGGGCAGATCTCTTCCAGCCCTGGGGTGAAATCGATTCACATAAAATAATCATGAAACCGTGATTTTTTTTCTCTCAGACTATAATCGCACCGCCGAAATTTCTAATCGCTGCAACCCTAGTCTAGAGCCAATCAGTGGATCTTCTTGGACAGCAAGTGTCTTCGACAGGCTTGTGTCAAATGTCCAAGTGTCTCTGGTTCTGATGGACCTTTTGTTCTGCTGCAGCTTTGAGCGAGGAGGCGCAGAAGGAGGAGAAGAGGAGGAGGAAGAGGGAGCTGTACAAAGAGAAGAGGTTCTTCTGTGAGCTGTGCAGCCAAGGTTTCCATCAGAGGTACCAGCTGCTGAAGCACATGCCCCGCCACGGGAAGCCCTTCCCCTGCAGCTACTGTGAAAAAGGCTTCTATGAGAAGCAGAGCCTTGACAGACACCAGCTTAGCCACCAGCTGAAGGAAGCGCAGGAGCGGGACCCGGACAAGCTGCTGAGCTGCGACCAGTGCAACCAGAAGTTTAAACTGCCGAGTCAGCTTCGGGTCCACAAAACCTTCCACAAACTGGAGAAGTGTCCTCTGAAGTGCCACGCCTGCGACCGCACCTTCACCTCCGCCGCTGCCCTCAGGTGTCACGAAGCGTCCCACGCCAAAGTGAAACCTTTCACTTGTGATGTCTGCAAGAAGGGTTTCACCAGGAAGAAGAACCTCCGAGAGCACCAGACCATCCACACGGGGGCTCGGCCGTACTCGTGCCAGATCTGCAGCAAGAGGTTTTCAACTGCCGGAAACCTGCGCACCCACCGAAGGTCGCATTCGGAGGAGCGGCCGTACAAATGCGGCGAATGCGACAAGGCCTTCAAGTGCAAGATGGGGCTGCTGCAGCATCGAGTGGTCCACACTGGAGAGAAACCCTACACCTGTCACTTATGTGGTTTAAGCTTTGGAATCAAATACAACCTTCACAGACACCTGCACCTCCACAGCGGAGCTAAGCCCTTCAGGTAACGCTACCATGATTGGAGCAGGGGTTCCCTCCACCGGAAGGAACTCGTGCAGTTATGCAATAAGGTTGGGTGATTGGGCAAAATCATCAACCACAGGCGAGAATTTTTATGCCAATTTGTGTCGCCGGTGGGACGTTACAAACTTCCAGGTCAAATCCTTTTTGCAACAGAAAAAACTCATTTCATATGTCATTAGAAAGCCAGGGTTCTTGTGATTCCGATGATGTTTATGTATTTAGCAGACGCTTTTGTCCAAAGCAACTTACAAGTGATAATCGGCATGTTGCCCTTGAGGCTAACAACAACAATAACAACAACAACTTGACATCAATCATGGAGAGGAGGGAACATGGAGTGGACGGTAGAGAGGAGGGACGGGTGCAGGGAGGGTGCTAGTTTAGAAGATGCTCTCTGAAGAGCAGGGTCTTCCGGAGTTTCTTGAAAATTGAAAAGGAAGCTCCTGTTCTGGTAGTGCTTGGAAGGTCATTCCACATTTATGGAACGATGCATGAGAAGAGTCTGGATTGTCCTGAGCGTGGTGTAGGCACTGCTAGCCGACAATCCTGTGATGACCGGAGCGGCCGGGCCGAGACGTAAGCCTTTGCAAGAGGATTCAGGTAGATGGGAGCCGTACCGTCTCGGACTTTGTATGCTAGTGTTAGCTATTTGAATTTGATGCGTGCTGCTAGCGGTAGCCAGTGGAGCTCAATGAACAGAGGGGTGACGTGTGCTCTTTTTGGCTGATTGAAGACCAGACGCGCTGCTGCGTTCTGGACCATTTGAAGAGGTCTCACAGTACAGCCTGGAAGACCAGCTAGAAGGGTGTTGCAGTAATCGAGGCGGGAGATGACAGTAGATTGCACCAGGAGCTGGGTGGCATGTTGTGTTAGGTATGGTCTGATCTTTCGTATGTTATACAGCGCAAAGCGGCATGAACGAGCAACAGAGGCAACGTGATCTTTAAAGGCCAGGTGTTCATCAATCACAACACCCAGATTTCGAACTGCCTTTGAAGGAGCCAGAGGTAGGAAGTCATTCTGGATTGAGATATTGTGCTGTATGGATGGTTTTGCTGGGATGACAAGTAGACGTATGAAAATGATGTAGGAACGTCCAGGATACAGTCATAACTGCAGACACGGTAAACGATTTTGTCCAAGGCTCTAAAGTTGATCTCCATTTAGAGCCTCGTATCAGAACAGAAACAAGTCTTATGTCCACAATCCGACGTCCCATAAAGCTGAAAACCTTCCAATCTTCCTTCAGATGCGTCTCATTCACCGTCATCAGACGTCGGACTACCACCTCACTGATCCTACAGGGGTTACCTCCTCCGTTGAGGCCAAGTCGTCAGCTTTAGCTTTTTCCCGTGTGTGTAGCTCGAACCAATCGTGGTGCGGTATATAGTTGATCGACCCATCTCAACCGTGAGGAACCCTCATGGCACGCTTCCGCAAACTAAGTAGGAATGATTGTGATTGGTGGATTGCTCTGTGCGGTGTGTGTCAGGCCCACAACACAGATGGACATCAAACAGCGTGAAGACCTCGCTGACGTTAGTTTTTGGTCTGAACATCTGTATTTATCACCCAGCCTTATCCAGCAAGGTTTGATCTCTTGTGTTTCTGTCCTCGCCTGTCTCTCTCAGGTGTGATCAGTGTGGCGAGGGCTTCTCGGGTACCTGGGCTCTGAAGACCCACATGCTGGTTCACGGTGTGGAGAAACCCTTCATGTGCGACCTGTGTGGCAAAATGTTTTTCTACAACTGCCAGCTGCAGAAACACCAGCAGCTGGTGCACGGTGCCGCAGACCGCCGGCAGTCTGGTGCAGAGGTGGGCCGGCGCAAAGCCACCGGAATCAAACCCTTCAGCTGTAAAATCTGTATGAAGAGTTTCAGCAGCAGCAGCACACTCAGGTCGCACGAGAAGAGCCACACCCAGAACAAAGAGTTCACCTGCAGCACCTGTGGGAAGGCCTTTCACCTGCAGCGCCTGTTCCTGTACCACCAGCGCCAGCACACTGGTGACAGGCCGCACGTCTGCGCCGTCTGCGACAAAGGATTCCTGCTGGCGTCGCAGCTCAAGCAGCACGAGCTGCTGCACACCGGGGTCAAACCTCACCGCTGCAGCCAGTGCAACAAAGAGTTCAGGACGCCACAAAACTACCACCGCCACCTGTTGGTCCACTCAGGAGAGAAGCCGTACCAGTGCACCGTGTGCAGCCGGAGGTTCCGGCAGTCCAACCAGCTCAAGTCCCACATGCAGATTCACACCGGCATTAAGCTGTACTCCTGCCAGCGCTGCCAGCAGGGATTCTCCGACTCTCGGCAGCTGAAGAAGCATCGCTGCGGAGAAGACTCCCAAGACTCGATCCAGTCTACCGTCGAGCAGAACAAACAGAGGGATGTCTTAACCTGGACACCTGACTTCAGCAGCTAGAGACCGAAAAGCAAACCAGCTGGTTGTTGGTTTTCAACTAGAGCAGGTAGAAACTCTGAGCTTCAGCGCTGTGGGATGTTTTTTCTCTCAAATATTACAGCAGACTCTGATTTTCATCATTTCTAATCCAAAACTTCAGTTGTTTTACCCGTCAGCTGCACAGAAAAACTCAAATAACACGTTTGACTGTTAAACACCAGGGCCTCCTTTATCTACCGTAGTTACGCACAGATCTGTCCTTAGGAACTAATATACACATTATGTGGTATTCATCATTTTGCACGTAGCAAATGGGTGAGCCTAGAAAAATTTGGATGGGCCTAATTAATTTCAAAGCTCATATGAGATGTGCGCCGCACATGGACGTAATTTTCACTTTAGAAGGGGGGGGGGGGGACACGGAGTGGGGTGGGGGGGGGGGGTTGAATCTTTACAGTATGCTCTAATGGGAAACGGGCTTCAACAGCACCTAGAGCTCAACCAGTGTCAATTTAATATAACGTAATATTGTTTTTGGATGGTAAAAAGTGCAGGGGTCAAACTTGACTTTGGAAAAAGTGGGACATGCCCCCCCACCCCCCCCCCCCCCCCCCAATTTACGTCCATGGTGCCGCATGCACGTCAAAATTAGATGTTTTAATAAAATCTCTAAAGCCAAAAATAATCCTATGATAGAAGATTATATATTAGATACTTATTCCATGGATCTCTGTTAAATTTCAATGTTAAGGACTGTTACCGACGCTGGACTCCCACTCTGGGCCAAGACCTGCCCACTCTCTCGTGTGAACTTTCAGGACCTTGGACAGGTTCTAATCTCAGCCAGGCGTGCTGCCGTGCTCGTCTCAGCGTCATAGCTGCAGGCTATCAGCTAAGAGCTGAAGATCCAAAAGACCGCAGCTTGCCAGAGGTCACCGCATGTTTCAAAATTCAGGATTTTTGACTTTTCATGCACACATTTTACATTTAAGAGGTAGGAGGTGTAGTGGTCCAATAGTTGCATCTTACGTAAGAAACCATCAAAGGTGAGATTCCATAGAAAATATGAAATCAATTTCATGTATCTTTGAATACCACTTTAAACAGAAGATCGGAACTTTTTATTGCAGGGATTAGGCAACACTTCGTATTAACCCTGAGTCAAAAGAGAGAGAGACAAGTTTTAAAGTTTAAGAAGATTTATTAATCTTGGAAAGATTTATCCGTCCTTGCGTAGCGGGACGGACGGAGTCGAGCCCACTTTTTTAAACATCTGTCGAACGAGACGGAGAATGCAAGCTTGTGATTGGTCAGGGCACCGCTGTCGTCTACACCGCCGCCATTGCGCCATCAAAAACATAAAGAGAGTCGAGGATAACTAGCGGCAGACACGGAGAAGCTTGAAGAATACGTCGCGAAAAAAAACCTCTAAAAACATGAACGTTTAATTCCCCGTGACTGGAGGAGTGAAAAGATGGTCAGCAAGTGTTTTATTTGTGGACGGAAATGACAGGAAACGTGGGTTTAGAGGTGGCGAGATCATGAAGAGATGGAGGAGAATGAGAGACAAATTTGTCCGTGTTAAAAAGTCTCTTATATACAAAAAAACATAATATAAACACACTATCTTGGACCGATACATGACAGGATACCACAGAACAGCGCTACGCCCTCTGCTGTCCTGGAGGAGAATTGCTTTGCAACACTCTCCAGGAGACGGAGAAGTATGAGAGCAAAACGCTTCCGTCAATCCGTGTGTGTCTGTCCCTTGCGGAGCTGACGGAGAAGCATGAATCAGGCTTAACTCTAAACACTCTATGTGATGAATGGATCTAGGTGTGAATGAGGCAAGATGGATGTGTAATGTAAGTAAGTAAGTAAGTAAGTAACTTTATTTCTATAGCACCTCTCACAGACAAAAAGGTCACAAAGTGCTTCACAAGTTAAAAGGCAACAACATATAAATACAGTAAAATACAGCCACAATATACAGTGTCAAATAAAACCAATCTGAATGAGACTAAGTTTAAAATGCCTGGAGAAACAAATGGGTTTTAAGATTGCTCTTAAAAACATCAACTGAGTCGATTGAGCGTAAAGAGAGAGGTAGCTCATTCCAGAGCCTAGGAGCGACGGCCTGGAATGAGCGATCTCCTCGTGTCCTGAACTGAGTACGTGGGACCATTAAAAGGTTTTGATCCATAGATCTCAGCCTGCGAGAAGGCGTGTAAGGGCAGAGCATGTCTCGAACATACAATGGAGCCAGACCATGCAGCGCTCTGAAAGTCAGCACAAGAATTTTAAAATTTATGCGAAATGTGATAGGAAGCCAATGAAGAGCTTTTAAAATGGGGGTAATGTGGGCCCTTCTGTGGAATGTTGTTATCAGAACTCTCGTTTCCAGAGAAGCATTAGTTCTGTGTGGGAACAAATGTTTTGCTCTAAACTACAGTCGGCGTTTCAAAAACCACATTCAGATGCTATCTTACCGCACTACACACCCTTGATGGGAGACCTCCGTTATAGATCCGGAATGCCAGGTCCTCGGACCCCCCTTTGGTACCGGAGCCGGTGAAACAGCGTACGGTACGACAGACTAGTCTTGGGATTGTCTCCAGGTAAGCGGCAGGTGTTTGACGGCGTCAGCGGGACCCTGAAGGGTCAGTGAGTTCAGCTTTTACTCTGAAGGAGCGTTGCGTCAGGTGTAGCTTGCAACAGGTTTTATTATCCAGCTGGTCGAGGTTCTTTGTGGTTAAAAAGTTACGAGTGGCCGGCTCAAAACTCTAGAACGTTGAACTGAGTTAAGGGTGATGTGGGAATTAGTTTTATTATTCAGATGTTTTGATTTATGGTCAAATCAGAATTTGACACCAAAATAAACACCGCACAGACCACGCCACACGTCAGAAAGGAAAGCTCTGATTGGAGAGAGAAAGGAATGTGTCATGTGATTTTAGCATTACGTGTGATCAGTCTAGTGTGTAGTTTAAAGTTATATTACTTATTAAAATACTATCATAGGATTATAATGTCAAGTAATTAATATTCTCATTTCACAGATTGATTTAACATTGAGCTTTACATGATTATTTGGACTAACAAAGTTATTTGATTTAATAGAGTTCTTCTGATCTTCTCTTGAGCTGTAGGGGGAGGCAAATAGCTAGTTAAAACAGTTAAGATGCAGAGGCATCAAAGGCCTTGAGCCATATCTCAAGGAGATTAGTTGTTCATGAGGAGAGATGACCTTTAGGTGGAAAACAGTTCCACTGAGGGAATATAGGACAGTTACGAACGTTTGACAGCCCTGGACTTGTCTCTCCTCTGTCCTCGGCTCTCGCTTCCAAACGGTAGGATTTAGAACTTTGACTTCCCCGTGTTTTGATCAAAGTTATTTTCGTTAAATCCTTTTGTTCAGCCATTTTCGATAGTGTTCCTTAGTCATCTCCTTGCGTTGTATTTCCGTTTGTAGTAACAGAAACATAGTTGTGCCCGTTGTTTTTTGCAGAGGGCTGAGAAGAACTTATGTTTTACCTTCTGTGAATAAAGCTTTTTTATTTAATCACCATCAACCACTCCGGTTCTTTTGTTACCCCTCTGCCCAACACCTTCAAGGACGAAACATGCACCGAAGGAGAAAAAGAAAAGACAAGAGCGATCGCATAATAGGCAACTTTATGATGCTAGAGCAGGGGTGATGACAGAAGTGTGACACTTTGAAGGAAGCTTGCGCTCAAGAGATGCAGCCACATCCCAGTTAGCTATCTCGTGCTTTTCCATTAATCTGTCTCAGGACTTTTTCATATAAAAGACCAAATTACAACTCCAACAAGCAAACTGGAAAACGTATTCATAATATGATTAAAATTTATACCAGATATAAAAGTTAAAGTATTTTTATTACACAGTGAAAAAAGTGCACAGTCATAATTTTATATTGTAATTGTTGTTACAACATAACTTGGGTTGCTAAGCAGTTGCTTGCTTGGCCATATCTTGGTGTAGCTATAGCAACGCCAAGCTACTGCCTGGCCTTGTCCCTGGTGGGTGGGCACTCTGTCAAACTGGGTGGGCCTGTGCCCACCCAGGCCCACTCATAGCTCCGCCCCTGGTGCGTGAAAATGTCCCAAAATATAAGAAAATCTCAGACCGTATGTATGAACAGCATCTAGTGGTGGAACGGAGGAACCGCAGTACTGAAGGTCTGTTGTCCAAACGCTCATCCGTGTTCTTTTTATCCATCCTTTCGACTCTTCTTCTTCTGCTTCAACTTCAGCTGCGGCTTACCGTAGCAACACGAGTCATACACCTAAATGATGCTAAGGGGGTGTGGTTGACTCGCAGGTCACGTGTCTGCCAAATACCGATATATGGAGGTTGGAAACATTATTGAGTTCATTTTCATCTATTGTACGGTTAATTGATTTATAGATTATCGTCCCAGCCAGCATGGCTGATTATGTGTTTTTGGAGGATTTGGCCGAGCGTGCACTCCATGACTGCCCGGATCTGATTCCTGAAGGAGGTCCTTCTGGAGCTCTGCTGTTATTTGGGACCCTTTATGGACCCTTCTCTGCTCCCCAATCATACACGTGTTGCCAAGGTAACCAGACTGAATGACAGCTCAGCACTCTCATACAACATGTCCAAATAAAACTAACTCTAAACAGAATAACTCCTTAAATGTAAATGACAACCTGTCTACAATTGATAATATTCAGTTGTATGTGAAACCGCTTTGATTCCTTCCTAACATGGACCTGTTTTCTGTCCCTACCGCCTTCACACCCTCTGCAACGTGTGGTTCTCTTGCACTTTGGCAGCCAAATCTAGCCGTCAGTAAAGATGTTGTTTTGTTTTGTTTTCCAGGAGGAACGCAGGGATTCCCCTCGTGAGCTGAGGATTGACTTTAGCGCCGTGAGTTTTCCTACCATCTAAAGGTTGATGGTTCAGTTGGCATCCCATTCTGGAGAAACTGAGACTGTTTGTATTAAGATTTTTTTTATTACAAATTTAAAAATAGAGAAGATTGTGCCACTTTTGTTAAGCTAATAATGACGCTCCGTTTGCTGTACACCTGGTAACTAATTTATAGAATAAAAAGATTTCAGCAAGATTTCATGTTTGTTTGCTAGAATCAGAAGTGGAAATTTGGGGTGTGTGTGTGTGTGTGTGTGTGTGTGTGTGTGTGTGTGTGTGTGTGTGTGTGTGTGTGTGTGTGTGTGTGTGTGTGTGTGTGTGTGTGTGTGTGTGTGTGTGTGTGTGTGTGTGTGTGTGTGTGTGTGTGTGTGTGAGAATTTTATTTATAGAGCGCATTTACAGCAGCAAAGCTACACCAAAGTGCTGTACAAGGTAAAACAGATCAACAATAAAAATCTAAAATAAGATGAGCACTCAACCGTCACAATCTGTAATAAAAACTATTAAGATGCTCAAGTCAACCTGCATTAAAAGCCAAATAAAAAAATTGCGTCTTAAGAAGGGATTTAAAATGTTCTAGATTCTGTGTGGTCTTGATGTTGAGAGGTAGCTTCTTCCACAGTTTGGGCCCAACCACAGAGAACGCTCTGTCGCCGCGAGTCTTGTGGCGGGTTTTTGGAACTGTTAAAAGAGCTTGAGAGCTGGACCTCGTGGTTCTGGCAGGGACGTAAGCGGACAGCAGCTCAGAGATGTAATCTGGGGCCAGGCCATGAAGGGATTTAAAAACAAAACGTAAAATTTTGAAACGGATCCTGTAAGAGACAGGAAGCCAATGGAGAGATGCCAGAACCGGGGTTATGTGATCCTGCTTGCTGGTTCCAGTCAGCAAGCGGGCCGCTGCAATTTGGACCAGCTGAAGTTGGTGTAGGGAGGACTGGTCCAGGCCAGAATACAGGGAGTTGCAGTAGTCCAATCGGCAAGACACGAACAGGTGGATGACATGTTCGAGGACATTAGCAGGAAGGTATGGCTTCACCTTTGCTATCTGCCTTAAATGATAAAAACCTGATTGGACCACTGCACTCACCTGTCTGTGAAGATTACAAGAACCGTCTAAAAACACACCAAGGTTGTTAACACAGGGCTTTAGAAAACCAGAACAAGGACCAAGAGAACCAACAACGTTGTTTAAAAGATTAGGACTGCCAAATAGTAAAATTTCAGTTTTTTGATTGTTGAGCTTAAGAAAATTCATGGACATCCATTGTTTGACGCTTTTTAAGCATTCCAGTAATGAGCCAATTGACCTGGCATCACTAAGTGGCAAATAGATCTGAAGGTCATCAGCGAAACAGTGAAAAGTTGTGTGTGTGTGCGTGCAGTACAGGCCAAAAGTTTGGACACACCTTTTCATTCAATGTGTTGTCTTTATTTTCATGACCATTTACACTGGTAGATTCTCACTGAAGGCATCAGAACTATGATGAGCACATGTGGAGTTTTGTACTTAACCATGGACGTAATTTTCACTTTAGAAGTGGGGGGGACACAGGGGTGGGAGGGTGTATCTTTATAGTATGTTCTAATGGGAAACAGGCTTCAACACAAACAGTTGTTTTCTGCTTGGTCCTAGAGCTCAACCAGTGTCAATTTAATATAGCGTAATATTGTTTTTGGATGGTGAAAATTGCAGGGGTCAAAACTTGACTTTGGAAAAAGTGGGGGGGACATGTCCCCCCTGTCCCCCCCCCAAAATTACTTCCATGTACTTAACCCAAAAAGGTGAAATAACTGAAGACATGTTTTATATTCTATTTTCTTCAAAAATAGCCACCCTTTGCTCTGATTACTGCTTTACACGCTCTTGGCATTCTCTTGATGAGCTTCAAGAGGTAGTCACCTGAAATTGTTTTCTAACAGTCTTGAAGGAGTTCCCAGAGGTGTTTAGCTCTTGTTGGCCCCTTTGTAAACGGTCATGGTCATGAAAATAAAGCAAACACATTAAATGAGAAGGTGTGTGTCCAAACTTTGGCCTGTACTGTATGTGTGTGTGTGTGTATATATATATATATATATAGAGAGAGAGAGAGAGAGAGAGAGAGAGAGAGAGAGAGAGAGACAGACAGACAGACAGACAGACAGACAGACAGACAGACAGACAGACAGACAGACAGACAGACAGACAGACAGACAGACAGACAGACAGACAGACAGATAGATAGATAGATAGATAGATAGATAGATAGATAGATAGATAGGGGTCTTGTTCACTAGTGAGGGTAGGAGGGATCGGGAGATCGACAGGCGGATCGGCTCAGCGTCTGCAGTGATGCGGACGCTGAGCCGATCTGTCGTGGTGAAGAGGGAGCTGAGCCAGAAAGCCAGGCTCTCAATTTACCGGTCGATCTACGTCCCAATCCTCACCTATGGTCATGAGCTTTGGGTAATGACCAAAAGAACGAGATCACGGATACAAGCAGCCGAAATGAGTTTCCTCCGTAGGGTGGCCGGGCTCAGCCTTAGAGATAGGGTGAGGAGCTCGGACATTCGGGAGGGACTCCGAGTAGAACCGCTGCTCCTCCGGATCGAAAGGAGTCAGTTGAGGTGGTTTGGGCATCTGGTCAGGATGCCTCCTGGACGCCTCCCTGGGGAGGTGTTTTGGGCATGTCCTGCCGGCAGGAGGCCCCCGGGTCGACCCAGGACACGCTGGAGAGGTTACATCTCCAGTCTGGTCCAGGAACGCCTTGGGGTCCTGCCGGAGGAGCTGGTGGAGGTGGCCGGGGAGAGGACGGTCTGGAGCTCCCTAGTTGGGATGCTGCCCCCGCGACCAGGACCCGGATAAGCGAAGGAAGACGACGACGACGATATATATATATATATATATATATATATATATATATATATATATGTGTGTGTGTGTGTGTGTGTATGTGTGTATATATATATATATATACACATATACACACACACACATATACAGGTGCTGGCCAGTAAATTAGAATATCATCAAAAGGTTGAAAATATTTCAGTAATTCCATTCAAAACGTGAAACTTGTACATTATATTCATGCAATGCACACAGACCAATGTATTTCCAATGTTCATTACATTTAATTTTGATATTTATAGGTGACAACCAATGAAAACATCAAATCTGGTATCTCAGAAAATTAGAATATTCTAAAGGCCAATGAAAAAATGTTTGTTTCTCTAATGTTGGCCAACTGAAAAGAATGAACATGAAAAGAATGTGCATGTATAGCACTCAATACTTAGTCGGGGCTCCTTTTGCCTCAATAACTGCAGTAATGCGGCGTGGCATGGACTCGATCAGTCTGTGGCACTGCTCAGGTGTTATGAGAGCCCAGGTTGCTCTGATAGTCGTCTTCAGCTCCTCTGCATTGTTGGGTCTAGCGTATTGCATCCTCCGCTTCACAATACCCCATAGATTTTCTATGGGGTTAAGGTCAGGCGAGTTTGCTGGCCAATCAAGGACAGGGATACCATGGTCCTTGAACCAGGTGCTGGTGGTTTTGGCACTGTGTGCAGGTGCCAAGTCCTGTTGAAAGGTGAAGTCTGCATCCCCATAAAGTTGGTCAGCAGCAGGAAGCATGAAGTGCTCTAAAACCTCCTGGTAGACGGCTGCATTGACCCTGGACCTCAGGAAACAGAGTGGGCCAACACCGGCAGATGACATGGCACCCCACACCATCACTGACGGTGGAAACTTTACACTGGACCTCATGCAACGTGGATTCTGTGCTTCTCCGCTCTTCCTCCAGACTCTGGGTCCTTGATTTCCAAAGGAAATGCAGAACTTGCTTTCATCAGAAAACATAACTTTGGACCACTCAGCATCAGTCCAGTCCTTTTTGTCCTTGGCCCAGGCGAGACGCTTCTTGCGCTGTTTCTTGTTCAAGAGTGGCTTGACACACGGAATGCGACACCTGAATCCCATGTCTTTCATGAGTCTCCTCGTGGTGGTTCTTGAAGCGCTGACTCCAGCTGCAGTCCACTCTTTGTGGATCTCCCCCACATTTTTGAATGGGTTTGTCGTCACAATTCTCTGCAGGGTGCGGTTATCCCTAGAGCTTGTACACTTTTTTCTACCACATTTTTTCCGTCCCTTCGCCTGTCTGTTAATGTGCTTGGACACAGAGCTCTGCGAACAGCCAGCTTCTTTAGCAATCACCTTTTGTGTCTTGCCCTCCTTGTGCAAGGTGTCAATGATTGTCTTTTGGACAGCTGTTAAGTCAGAAGTCTTCCCCATGATTGTGGGGCCTTCAAAACAAGACTGAGGGACCTTTTAAAGGCCTTTGCAGGTGTTTTGAGTAAATCAGCTGATTAGAGTGGCAGCAGGTGTCTTCTATATTCAGCCTTTTCAGAATATTCTAATTTTTTGAGATACCAAATTTGGAGTTTTCATTAGTTGTCACTTATGAATATCAAATTTAAATGTAATGAACATTGGAAATACATTGGTCTGTGTGCATTGCATGAATATAATGTACAAGTTTCACGTTTTGAATGGAATTACTGAAATATTTTCAACCTTTTGATGATATTCTAATTTACTGGCCAGCACCTGTATATATATATATATATATATATATATATATATATATATATATATATATATATATATATATATATATATATATATTTGGAGTCAGCTCCTCAGTCATGATGACTTTTTACTGTGCCTTCCTGGAAAGCATCATGACTTTCTCCATCACTTGCTGGTTCTACTCCCTTGCCTCCAGAACAGGAACAGACTGCAGCACACTGCATCAGTGTTGGCCTGCCTGTCAGAACTCTTGCACAGGTTTTCTATCAACAAGCCCTGAGACAGGCAGCCAAAATCCTCCACAACCCCTCTCACATACTTCACCCCGCATTTCAATGGCACCCCTCTGGGCGACGCCTACGCTGCATTTCCTGTAAGACTGAGAGGAGAAGAGCCACTTTTCTCCCCAAAGCCATTCTGCTCTTTAACTCCAGCAGATAAGATAAGACCATCCCCCGATAAACCCTCTCCTTGGGCTCTCCATATATTAAAGTTTTATACAGACGACACTTTAGTCACTTTACTCACTTACTCAGTGTTTTTTTGTGTGCATATTTTACTGTTTTATCCGTCTGCTTGCTGCTTTATTACTTCCTTATTGCCTATTTATTCAATGTTTGATTGTCCAACATCATGCTGCTCTGCTGTTATTTTTTATTAATTGCCCCTCGGGGGTAAATAAAGTTTTTCTGATTCTGATATATATATATATATATATATATATATATATATATATATATATATATATTGTGTGTATATATATATATATATATATATATATTTTTTTTTAGATAGATGGATAGATGGATAGATAGATAGATAGATAGATGGATAGATGGATAGATAGATAGATATTGTTTATTTAAAAAAAATTAAATAAAAGCTCAAATATTTTTTGTGTGAATAATGTAGGTTGATGTCTTTCAACACCCCAGACCACTTGGTGGCGGTAATGAGTCGTTTATTGTTGCTCTGCTAACCGCCAGAAGACGCAGAAGCGCCTGCGCACTACTTTGGGACGGCGACTCCCACCCGCTTCCACAGATAAACATAAGTTGTCCTCCGGTTACCGGGAGTTTTGCGGCGAGGCTCGTGATTTTCCGTGATTCGGATGTAAAAATGAGGCAGAGTAGATTGGTATCCTGTGACCGTTAACGACTTTACTTCTTCCAAAATCGAGTTTTACTCACCAGCCGACAGTTAGCTGGAAGCTAACCTTAGAATCAGCCGGAGCTGCTTGGGAGGTGAGTCCGAAGTGTCCGAACCATATAAAGGTCCGAACCCGTCTTGTGTGGAAAATGCAGAGCAAATGGCTTTTTTTATTTTTATTTTGTCAACGTGAGAGAATAATTTGTAGTTTCTTCTCCGGCTGTATGTACCCCTGTCTTCTTACTTCAGTAAATGTTCCTAAAACAACGTTTCTCTCCTTTTAAACGAGATGAAAAATGTTCTTTAGTCGCGTCAAAACATTTCCCATTATTCCATCAACGTGTTAGATGTCGCATTAGAACGTGTTTTTCTAGGATTGTACGTTTCAGAGGAAGTTACGATTATCACTGTTTTTATTCTTTGGTTTCCCTCAGTATTTTAAACTCTACGTCCAAATATGCTACAGAAATCATGTTTTTCCCCCACAAAAAAAATTAAAGGTTCCATATCATGAAAATGTGATTTTTTTTTTTTTTTTTTTTTTGGGGGGGCTTTATGTTGTCATTTTCTTATGAGAAATACTCCCGAACCTTTTTGGGCTGCATTTATACATTTTCTTGCCTCAGCTTAAAATTTTAAATTTATTTTCATGCCTGCGTCCAGAACAAAGTAGCCCAAGTGGGTCACCAGGCCTTTTCCCCCTGGCTAGTCTGGAACCCACCTTCTCACTTCCTCAGAGTGGTTGATTTCGTGTTGAAGTTGAGATTGTGACATCACTCATTTAGGAAGTACATTAATATTAAGAATACTGTAAAAGTAGCCCTGTCACTCATATTTCAGATAGTCTACTCAGCATGCGGCTGTTTTGAGTGACAAGGATGGCACTGCACATGACGACCGGTGTTATGTTGATACGAGTTCCCCCGTCGAGGTGTTTCTTTTCCACCCATCTGCGAGTTTGAACCATCCACCCGCAAAAGATGCGTGTCCTAATCCTTACCTGAACCCTAAAACAAACATAAAAATCATGTCACATAGTCATTTCATGAATTATAATTATGCAAAACATACATTTTTGGTGACGGGGTGGTTAGGGTGAGGGTTATTTTTTGTGAGTGGAGGGTTAGGGTTTCTCATATATTGTGCCTACCTTTTCTCTCAAAGGTTTAAAATGGCACGATTTGGAACCTTTAATGTCCATGCTTACGACCTGACCATCCTTTTCCAGCATCATGATTTGTTGCTGTTAGCTACGGCTGCTAACAGAAATCAGGAAACTGGCGTTGAGCTGCCCTCATCAGTGCCTGTTCATGTAGCAGTAAAATGTCGCCATATTTAGATTAAACTGTCTCAAAGGACAAATATATCACCCCTCACCCCTCAACCCTGACCGACACCTCCATTCCAACCATGAACTCCCTCGCTTCCTTGTCCACCATCACCTATGGACTCAAGTGGGAGATGTCCATCAGCTCCATCATCAGGAAGGCCCATTAAAGGATGTTCTTTCTGCAGCAACTGAGAAAACTGCAGGCCAGCCACGACTATGGTCCATTTTAATACGGCCATCATCGAATTAATCCTCACCTCTTCACTTACTGTGGTACGCGGGAGCCACTGCCAGGGACAAGCAAAGACCACAGCTTGTGCTCAGCAGAGAAGGTGCTCGGATGTGACCTTTCATCAATACATGGCCTGCACACCTCTAGGGTTCTGAGACATGCCGGTGGGAAAACAGCTGACCCCTCTCACCCTGGTCATGGACTGTTTGATACCCTACCTTCAGGGAGGAGGTTCAGATCCTTACAGACTAGAAGTTTTTTCCTCTCTGCTGTAAGTCTCCTGAACATCCAGTAACCGTTTCAACCGCATAGATCTGCACTAGTCACCCATATTCCAATGCTAATGACTGTTTTCCTTTGATGTAACCTAATCTATATATTGCCTGACTTGTATGCATGTTCTCACCTTGCCACTGACACAAATTCCTACTTCACGAGTCTCTCACCTACATGGCAATAAACCTGATTCTGATTCTAAAGTCCCATCAGAGAGAAGTTTCTAAAATGGACCTAAAGGTTTCATTCTGGTGCCTGATGGCAGCCAGGGTGCCATCGTCTCTTCTGTCCAGGCACGTGGCCTCCATGTAGAGGCCTCCCCAGACCAACACGACCCGCCTCCAAACCCATTGTGCTGCAGGCGGCAGCATCATGTCCACCTCAGCTTCGGACATGTTCACATCTGTCGCATGAGCTGAGAGTCAACCTGCTCTCGTCTGTGGTGTTCTCTGGTAGATACCAGTGGATCCCAGGAAAAGCAGAATCAGCAGAAAGAGCAGAACTAAGCTAACTCAGGTGTTTGCTAACCATCAAAATTAGGTGCCGTCCGCCTCGGGGGCGGGCATCTGACCTATGAGAACCCACCCAAATGGGTGAAGAGCTCTATTTGATGCGTTAAAAAACATCATGCTTATGTTTGACTGACAGGATGCATTATGTGTAGCAAACATCTGAGCTGACCGTTCATTGCGATATTTATCTGCTCTTTGCGATATGCATATTGTGCATGCTGATATCGCGATAACGATATATTTGCGATATATTGTGCAGCCCTAGTTAAAAGTAAAAGATTTAGTGTTTGTCAAACTTCTACTGAAGAAAGATCTCAAGAGCCTGCTAGAAGGACCGTTGCATTGGTTCTGCTAGTTCGGCTGTTCCTCTGAAGAGCACCAGCCCTACAGCAGCTAGATGGAGATGTTTTCCTCTTTCAGGTGAAAAAGATGCCCAAGGTCTCAGACGTGAGAGTGAGCGGAGATGGCAGGAGAGACTCTGTGCTGACTCGGGAAGACTGTCTCTGTCCTGTCTGTCTGGAGATCTTTATCGAACCTGTTACGCTGCCCTGCACACACACATTCTGCAAGGTAACACGCACAGCTTGTGTGCTATCTATTGCTGTTTCCAGTTGTCGTGACAACAGACTGATTGGACAGTCAAATCCAAATGTCCTAATGTGGGTTAATGCTAATGGTGATTATTTTGTGTAAAGTTTTTTGATGTGCTGACGTTGCAGCAAGCTTTATTGCGTCACTTCCTGTTTTTTTTTCTGTAAAAAAAAAAGCTCACCTAACAGATTTCTAAATATCTTTGGCTGTGTCCCGACTTGCGTGGACCAGGTAGGACGAGTCCATGTAGGTCGGGTCCTTCCTTGATCGCTAAGATGGGAAGTGAGCGGGTGTGAGTTTGATACTTTAAAGTCTTCATAACACGAGAACGGCCTTCAGCAGTCAATAAATTCACCTTGTAAGTTTATAATTTCAGATATTTCATTTAAAAATATATTTTTTAACCAAAAATAACCCAAATAAACATTTTCAGAATCGTAACCATCTTTATCAGTTTCTCTAACACCATTTCTACTAGGGATGCACCGATATTAATTTTTGAGGCCGATACCGATATTACTATCACTGTTATGGCCGGTAACATACATGCAAGTATATTCTATGTACCTGACATTTACACTTTTGAAATCAGCAAATTTTGTATAGACTGAAAATTATCCCTACTGTCCTAATGGGGGTGACCCCACGAGGAAAGTTGACCACTGAGCAGGGTTGATGGTTTATCCCTTGAGGTCCAGGTGGCAGGGGCGAGGTGGTGCTCACTCCTTACCCCTGCCACATGGACCCAAGGGATAAACCATCAACCCTGCTCAGTGGTCAACTTTCCTCGCGGGGTCACCCCCATTAGGACAGTGGCAGGGTTAAGCAAGCAGAATTTTTGAATGTTTTGCTTTATTTCTATAAAGTGCAATTTGCAATACACACACCACACATTTACGCTTCTGAGATGATTACTGTTACTGTCCCATGACTAAACAATTACACATCACCCCCTCACCCTACTGTGGTGTGGTCTATCGTCCACCTGGTCCAAACAGTTCTTTCCTTCAGGAGTTTAGTGACTTTCTATCCTCCACTGTGAAGCTGTCCAGACTGGTGATTGCTGGTGACTTTAACATCCACGTTGATGATCCCTCTGATCACTTTGCCATGAATTTCTCCAGCCTTATGGACTCCTTCAGCTTTACCCAGCATGTTTCTGGCCCCACACACACCGGGGGTCACACTCTAGACCTTGTTTTTACCCCGGGTCTGAATGCAGACAGTGTTTGTCCTGAGGACGTTTATATTTCAGATCACCATCGCATTTTCTTTAACTTGTCAGTGTCTGCGTCCCCACCTCCTGCTCGCCATATGGTTAGTTCTCGTTTTCTTAATGAGAGCACAGCTAGCAATTTTTCTGCTGCTTTTGAGCCACCCTGTTCTTCTGATACCGACCCAGATTCCTTAACCTCAGTTTAACGAGCACTGCCTCTTCATTCTGGACATATGTCCTGTCAGAACCAGATCAGTTCCTGCAGTGAACCCTACTCCCTGGTTTAATGACAGCCTTCGCAGCCTGAAGCGCCAATGAAGAAAAACTGAGCGTTTGTGGAAGAAAACCCATCTCCACGTCCATCTGCTGCACCTAAAGGATCTTCTGTCATCCTTTAACTCTGAAGTCTATAAAAACCTGGATGGTGGGAGCTTTCTTCAGCTGAATGAAGATAAGACTGAGATCCTCATCTGTGCCCCAGACAATCTGGTTCCCAAAGTCAGAGACTCTCTTGGTCAGCTTGCTTACCACACCAAACCTTCTGTCAGGAATCTTGGTGTGACCTTTGACCCAGCTCTCACCTTGGATTCTCATGTCAGTTCTCTTGTTCGCTCTTCCTTCTTCCATCTCAGGAACGTTGCTAAGCTGAGTCCCATTCTGTCCCGCTCTGAACTTGAGACAGTTCTCCACACCTTCATCTCCTCACGCTTAGACTACTGTAACTCTCTTTTCACGTGTCTGAGCAGAACCTCCCTGAACGTCTACAGGTGGTTCAGAACGCCTGTGCTCGGCTTCTGACCAAGTCCTCCAAACACACCCACATCACCCCGCTTCTCTGGTCTATATGGCCTTACATGGACAAGCACCATCTTACATTGGTGATCTTCTTAGTCCCTACACCCCCAGCAGGTCCCTCAGGTCCAGTGATCAAAGCCTACTGGTTGTGCAGCACCAGGCTAAAGGTCAAAGGTGACAGATCATTTGCTGCTGTGGCCCCCAGACTCTGGACCTCTCTCCCCCTGAGCCTGAGATCAGTGGACTCAGTGGTCTCCTTTAAAAAGCAGCTGAAGACTCACTTGTTCAAGCTGGCTTTTGTATGACCTTCTTCACCTCTCTCTCTTTATTCTGCTCTCCCCACCTATTCCACCTTCCTCAGGATCCACTGATTTCCCTCTTTCCTGTTCACTCTCTCTCTTTCTTAACATTTTTAATCACAATTGTCTATTTTTGCTCATTTTAAATATATTTTAAACATTTTCTAAATTCTTTTTTATATTTTTACATTTTTTGTTTTTGTGAAGCGCCTCGTGATTTTTATCTTGAGAGGCGCTATAGAAACGATATTTTCTTCTTCTTCTTCACCCGCCACCCCACCCACTGAAGCAGATACACAAATGAAAACAAGACAGAAAAAAATATCGGTTGTTAATATCGGATCAATACGTTAAAAAAAATGACCAACATCGGCCAATATCGATATCGATGGAGAAATATTGTGTGACCCTAATTTCTACAGTTGTATTTCTTTTACGCCACTTTTACTCTTCCTTCATGTTTTAGTTATAAAAGACAAAAACAAATAAATTGAGGAAGAAAAAACACTGGAGATGCTTTTTGACTGTAAAATTTCCCAGTCTTCGTGTCCTAAATGATCAAATTTGGTAGAAATTGTATTTTTCTGTCGTTTGCACGATAAACACATTTATCTGTATGTTTAGGGAAAGTCGGGGACTAGCAAAGCTGTATGGTTTTATTTTGACAGTCAGAATGGCTCTTGTTTTAACTGGAGCTTTAACTGATGAACTGAATTCAGCTGAATGGTAAAGCTCAGCAGATCACCTGTGCAGGTGTTTTTACCTTTGCCACTAGATTGATGCAGTTTGCTTCAGACCTACCATGTTAGTGTTTGATGGTAGTGATGTGATGGAAATGTTAAATGTCAGTGTTTTAATATCATGGCTTATGATTGATGCAGACTCTTCATCCGCAGACAAGAGTCTCACTCAAGGTTATTTTCACAGCTGCTTGGATCCTGCCAGTGTAATCATTTAAATTACTACGTGTTATTTAATGAGACATAAGACTCCACAGCAAATATGAAATCCACCTTATGGATCTGTGAGGTTATTTTAAACCAGAAGATTGGAACTTTTTTTTTTTGCAGGGATTAGATAACAGCTTCTTATTCACTCAGAGACAACAGAAGAGAGTTGAGTTTAAAAGTTTAAAGATTTATTACTAAATAAATTAAAACTAGACTAACTTAAACACTATGGTGTAACTAAGGTGGATGAGACGGAGAATGGTGTGATGTGGAATGTTGCTCAGAACCAGCAAATCCGAAGAAGCGATTAGTTCTGGTGGGAATTGAAGGTGATGTCTTCGCGCTAAGCTTTGGTTAGGAGATTCATAAACACATTTGACGCAATTTGTCGGCCTTCATACCCTGGTGGAAGTCCCCGTTAGATCAGGAATGTCGAGGTCCTGCTTGACCCTTTCTGGAACCGAAGCCGGTAGGAAAAGCAGCGGTTGCCGACCAGACCAGTCTTTGAGATACTTCCGGGTCACAACGGTTTTGGTGGCATCTAGTGAGACCCAAACCTGGGTCGTGTTGGTTCAGCTTTTATTCTGGAAGGAACCGTTGCAGCAGGTGGAACAGCAACAGATTTTATCCAGCTTGTCGTTGGTTCTATTGGCTGAAGAGGAAAGTTACGGATTGGCCACTCCGACAACTTCTCTAGAACGCTTTGAACTGGCGTTAGAGATGGCGTGGGCATAGTTTTATACTTCGGATGTTTTAATTTACGGTCGAATGAAAAGATGACAGATTTACCAAACACCACCAAAACCACGCCTCCGTCAGATCTGGCAGATCCTGATTGGATCAGTAAAGCAATGTGTCATGTCTTAACGCTACGTGAGATCAGTCCTAGTGGAAACATTTAAAGTCATATTACTTATTATTTTCTATAGGATTATAATCAAGTAATTAATATTTTGATTTCACAGATTGGTCACATCTTATTATTGACTAACACTTTGTTTGATTAGCTTTATTAAAATAGAGTTCTTTGATTTATTAAAAGGAGAGAGTCCTTTCTTCATTCTTCTGTTGAGCTGGAAACAAATGCATGAGACCTTGAGACCATATCTCATGCAGACTAGTTCTGTGTCAGAGGAGAGGGGGAAAATGACTTTTGGTGGAAAACAGCCATTTCATACCGTTACACCAGAGTGTTGTCAAGTAGGAGGAGATATGGGGAGGTGGGCAGGATTATGGGAAGTTCTTGTACTTTGCTTTTGTCAACATTTGTTCCTTGTTGGACTATAAAGCTGTGTGTAGTCCCTGGTTCTGGGTTGGGTAACCCTAACCCTCAATGCCTCCAGTAGTAAATCATATAAAAAGAAAGTACATTCTGTCTCGTCATTTTGTGGTTCAGGCGTGTTCAGTGTAGAATTTCTGCAACAACAAACTGGACAAATGCTGAAACATTTGTGGTTGTCCCACTAGGTGGTGCTCTCTCTCTGAGTTTACAACTGTTTCTGTTTACAGAGTTGTTTCCTGGAGTCTGTGGACAAGTCTACTCTGTGCTGTCCACTCTGCAGAAAGCGGGTCTCCAACTGGGTACGACTGAACAGTAAGAACAACACGCTAGTGGACCAGAAACTGTGGAACCGGATCCAGACCTGCTTTCCTCTGCAGTGTCAGCGCCGTCTAAGTGGCCAGGACACAGAGGAGGACTACCTGGGTACCAGAAGCCCATCATTACACCACACACCTGAAATCCGCTCCTGCTGATTGGTCACATGACTTCTGTGTGTCTGTAGGCCTGGTGGGGGTTCCAAGAGTCAGCCTCCCTGGAGAGCTGCGGCAGGAGTATGAAGACCAGGTGACCAAAGTAAGTTCAGCTGGTCGTGCGTGCGTGTGTGTGTGTGTGTGTGTGTGTGTGTGCGTGCGGGCGTGCGTGACATGTTTATTTGAAATCCTTCATTGAGTTCTGCTTGTTTGTAAAGCGAGTTGTTTAAATAAAGTTGAGTTGAAGCTTAAAGGGTCCGTGATGAGGAGCGGTCACATGTCCCTCTTTTGACATCAGCTGATGGAGGAGCGAAGGGCGCAGGATGAAGAGGAGAGGAGGGCCAGCGAGGAGCTGATCCAGATGATGCTGGCTGAGGAAGAGGAGCAGCTGGAGGAGGAGAGGAAGAGGAAGGATGATGATGAGCAGCTGGCCAGACTGCTCAGCTCCCAGCTGGTCAGTGCTGTGATGAGATCGCTGACATGACTGTTAGATCACATCGTGTAACTTCCTCTTCCTGTCTCAGAACTCGCAAGAAAAGCTTTGTGTTCCTGTAGTCACTCCGCCCAAGAAGGAGGTGCGTGTGGGAAACATGGACAGGTGAGTCTGACCTGAATGGTTAGGGAGCCTGGCACAGGTCCTCCTAGCACTCAACTCAATCAATCAATCAATCAACCAATCAAAGCTTTATTTATAAAGCACCTTCCTGTCAGGAAGCCCAAGGCGCTGAACACAGTACATAAGAAATGTGAAACACAATGAATAAATAGATAATAAAAGCAATTCAAATAGTGCAAAAAAGCTAAAACATTAAAGTTGAAACAAATGATAAAACAAGAGATAAAGAGACCAATGAAAACAGGGAAATAAAATCAACATAAAGGAGGGCTGACCTCAAACACGTTCAGGGAACGCCAAGCGGAGGAGGTGGGTTTTTAGGCGACTCTTAAAGGCTGGCAGAGATGGGGACAGCCTAACTGAGGGTGGCAACTGGTTCCAAAGTGACGGAGCTAGGACTGAAAAAGCCCGGTCCCAGCGAGTACGACACCTAGAACGAGAGACAGCGAGCAGGCGTTGGTCAGAGGAGCGCAGAGCGCGTGATGGGGAATGTCTGTTCAGGAGCGTGGCTAGATAGGGGGGAGCACCACCCTGGAAGAAATGGTAAACAAAGACGAGGAGTTTAAAGTGTGAATGATAACAGACCGGAAGCCAGTGCAGGGAGGCCAGAACCGGACTGATGTGGTCCCGTTTCCTGGTCCCAGTCAGAAACCTGGCTGCACTGTTCTGCACAACCTGTAGGCGGCGCAGTGATGACTGACACAGTCCTGCATATAGAGAGTTGCAGTAATCAAGCCTAGAAATGACAAAAGCATGCAGTACCCTCTCCACTTGGGCCCTCGAAAGCATAGGCTTGATTTTTGCAAGGCGTCTCAGATGAAAGGAACTGGACCGGATCACAGAGTTGATGTGAGCATCAAATTTAAGTCCAGTGTCAATTTTCACCCCCAAACTGGTGATAACTGGTTTTGAGTATGGAGAAAGAGGGCCAAGATCAACATAACGACCCACAGCCCTGCTATTGGGGTGAAAAACAATGAGCTCTGTCTTTCCCTCATTCAGGTGCAGATAGTTGGCCATTAGCCAAGACTTCACCTCGTTAAGACAGGACACAAAGGACTGAAAGACCTTTGAGAGTAAACCTGGCAATCGTCAGCATAGAGATGGAACGCTAGGCCATGTTTACGAAAGATTGACCCCAGAGGAAGCAAATAAATGGCAAACAAAAGAGGACCAAGAATCGATCCCTGCGGGACCCCCCAGCGGAGCCCCTCCCAAGAAGAGAAAACATCACCCAGTTTAACACAGAATGTCCTGTTGTGGAGATACGATCTAAACCAATCCAGAGCTGACCCTTTGATCCCAACCCATCATTCCAAGCGATTGAGTAGAATCGCGTGGTCAACCGTATCAAAAGCTGCCGTCAGATCTAACAACAGAAGCACCACAGATGTACCCTGATCTAGTGACATAAATCATTTAAGACCCTCAGTAGAGCCGACTCTGTGCTATGGCCAGACCTGAACCCTGATTGGAAAACCTCAAACAGATCAGAGTCAGCTAAATGCGAGACCAGCTGCTGATAAACGACTTCCTCAAGCAGTTTTGATGTAAAGGGCAGGGTAGAGATAGGCCTGTAATTTTCCATCACAGAGACATAAGCACCAGGTTTCTTCAGGGTCGGCCGAACAACTGCTGCTTTCAAAGCAGCTGGGACCACACCTGTGCTGAGGCAACCATTGATAATCTGACCAAGTGATGGGCCTTGACATGGAGACTAGGCGGCAGAACATCAAGTGGAGAGCCAGATGGCTTCTGCCTTGCAACAAGCTAAAGCCGGGCGGACACTGTGCGACTTTTTCACTCGCAGCGTTCAGCTTCAGCTCAAACTGTACGACTTCCTCGCAGGGCAGATCTCACGAGTCATGTGCTCACACTGCACGACCCAGTTCTCTGATGCGACCTGACTGCTCACACTGGACGTCTGGTAGCAACACGTCGGGCCTAAAAATATACTAAAAATAGCAGTTTTTACACAACACGTCAGACTTTTTTGTCTTGTTTTGCCTGTTGTCCTTCGGGAGTGCTGCAGGAGGACACACAGGGATTTATGGGGGTTGGATGAGGAAAACTAAATAAAGAAAGTAAATCTGTGTTTTGTGATCAGTTTAATTTGACATGAACACGACATTTCTTGACAATCCTGTCATTGTGTGTAAAAGACATGTAAAAATAAAAACAAACAACGTGTGTTATTAGGGAAATAGCGGGCGAGCGGTGTTGATGCATGATTACGCATGCGCTGTGAGCGGTTCTGATACTTTTTCGGTCGCAGCTGCGCCGCTTCAACAGTGCGATACCCTCACGAGGGACAAGCTAAATATTAAACACGCCAGAAGTTTGTGCGAGCTCACGATTGCTGATCGGTAGCTGGTCACGTGGTGTTAATCGCCTCTCGTAACCCCCTGTACACTACACGACGCTCAGCGCAAAACTCGCCCCGATCTTGTGGGTTCTCGCACGAGTGGAAAATCGGCTCAAAAAAGTGAAAACGTCGCTCAGTGTACGCCCGGCTTTACTCAGCTCTGAGTAAGAAACGGTACTGAGGGAGCTCAGGGTGGGCGGTGATGGAGGAACTGGAACAGGGTCAGTAGTTACCAGAAATAGCTGCTCTAATGCCCGATACTTTGTGAACAAAAAAATTGTGAAAATCTTCACAGGTTCCAGCAGCCGTAGAGGACATGAAGCCGGGCTCCTGATACACCAGAACAGGGTTCAGTGTTGTGTAGAGAATCTTGGGATTCTGAGTTTGTTTCAATGATGTCTGCAAAACAGGCCATTCTAGCAGCCCTCACTGCATCCTGATGAGCAACCAGAGATGCTCTGAACAACTCATGCGAGACCTGTAGGCCATCCTTTTTCCACTTTCTCACAGAGGATCTACACGCTCGCCACCTGTAGCCACTTCCTTTAAACCAAACCTGCAAAATTTAAAGATGGCCGACTCCAGAAGAACATGTTTGCTTTTCAAAGCATTTTTAAAAAAATGACTCAATGTCCAACTTCCTGGGATGTGACATGAAAGCTGCAGAAAGATGAACAGAGCAGAGCGGGAAGTAATGTGGCCAACTTTTAACTCCTTGGTAGGTTAACCCTAACCCTAACTAGTAGGTTAGCTCTGTCTGTAAGTTTATCCTTTTCCAGATGAATCAACATCTCCACATATGTTTCTGGTTATTTTCACCAGTGGACTCGGATCAAAGCTGCACTAAAATAAAATAAGTTCAAAAATAAACCGAGTTTTTATTCACGAACCCGTCTCACTGTGACTAGTCACATGATCACTGTTGTAGGACGTGGTTGTTGATTTTTAGCTTTGACTTGTTTCAGGTTCCTGTGTCCTCGTGTGACTCAGCCAAGCTCAGCCTCCAGTTTTCTCTCCAACAAGGTCAGTTTGGGTGATGACGTCATGGCGTAACCCTCACATGTTCTCTCGGCTCCATCAGAGCTCCTCATTGATCTTTATGAGATGACACACACACACCCCCCTCTGGTGGTTTATGGTGTTTGGGTGTAAACGATGTTCGCAGGTCCTTCCTCCTTCACGTGATGTCTTCTAACGTTATTACTTTATCGTTTCAGGAGAACATCGTCTTCCTGGAGGCACAGCTTCATGTGGAGCGGCCCCTCCCACAGACAGACGGCAGTCAGCTGATCAGACCGGCATCAGCGAAGCGGAAGAGCTCTGAAATGGAGACCGCTGAAGAAGAGGTGACCATCAAACGAGTTCCAGTGTTGTCCTCTTCCCCTGTGGAAGCGGAGCTTTCAGCTGAGTGGGAGGCGAGGCAGAAACAGGAGGAAGAGGATCGCCGAATGGCTCTGCTCCTTCAGAAGGAGTTGGATGAGGAGGCAAATCGAAGGGCCACCGACAGACGCAAAGGATCCTCTGACGCCTACTTGCTCCGCCACAAGGGAGGAGAGACCGGGGAGGCCAGAGCGTCTAACGCACCTGAAAGAGGCTCCTTCCAGAGCCCCAGAACCACCAGTCGATCCTGCTCCTCCTCATGCTCCTCACGTCGTTCTACTCCTCTGAAGGGTCGGAAAACTTTGCCTTCATCCTCATCATCTTCATTGTCCTCCAGGGGAGGCAGGAAACAGATGACTCTGACGAGTATTTTTGGGTCCTCCCCCTCCTCCTCCTCAACTGCACAGACAAACAGTTGGGAGTAAAACTGATCTTCAGGGGGCCTTAGAGGAGTTTATGTGGAAAAAGACTATTTTATGTTCGGTTTAATTTCCGTTTGTTCTAGTGCTGCTGTCCGATTTGGGGCGGGGCTTATCACTTGTTTCTGTCCCGATCAAACTGCCTTCAGAATAAGAGCATCTCAGGAAGATTTGGTGGAGCTGTGCCTCTCAGCAGCGTTGTCATGGTGACAGAAGAGTCTTCCACTCTTGAGGAGGCCACTGTACAGGTCGTGATCTAAATCACAGCCGGATGTGTAGATGTTGACTCAAAATAAAGTTTCAAACACAGATATTTACCAAAGGCTTTCTATTTTTTTTTTTTTTTTTTGTTCGTTTGTTTTGGAATCAGCATCCAGAACGGGAGCTGAGACACAATTCTCAACTCAAGCTTTATTTCTAAAGCGCCTTACAGGGACACGTTGCACTAATAAAAGAATAAAAGCAGACTAGCGGCCACGGGTTAAAGGTCAGATCAAATAGAGTCCTTAGCCTGACCTTAAAAACTGTCACCGATGGTGAAGCACGCACGTTACAAGGTAACTCGTTCCAGAGTTTCAGGCCTGCCATTGATAAAGCCCCGTGTCCTCTTGTCTTCAAACAAGTTGTAGGAACTGAGAGTAGGAGGAGTGATGCTCAGGTTGGTTTAGAGAGACCAGGCCCAGAGGGGGGGTGGGGGTTCTGCTGCTGGTGGCTGTGCTGTCTTTAGTCTGAGGAAGTTTTGTCACTTTGTTCCAGTGTCTGTGGTTCCACCGCTGTCGTTCATGTGACCCCGATGACTCATTCTGACGTGTGAAGCTGGACTCTTCAGACCGTCCTCGAGGATCTTGGTTCTTCTCCACGTGTCTTGGTTTTGTCTCCTCAGACTTCTAGTTGTGATGAGTTTCACAAGAACCTCGGTTCAGGATGACTCCGTCAAAGCCTGAACCGGGTCCAGGCCAAGACCCTGGGCCCGGTTTAGATTGAAAAGACGACCCAGCTCAGGATCAAACCTGACTGGATCAACAGGACTGGTCTTCCTGATCACATCAGTGGAGACATCAACCATTTTCCCATGAGCCCCTGCTGCTCATTAGGTCCTCGTGATGGGAACGAGTTTCCTCACTTAGGGTCTGGGTGCTGGTCTCTGGACCTTTTTTTTTGTCTTCCTCAGACATGAAAGACCATCTGAACTGAGATTTACTTTTTTTTTTTTTTTTTTTTTGTAACGTTTGACAAAAATGGCCCAAAGTGGACCTAAATGTTCTATGTTCTGTCCGGTCAGAACCAGTCCTCTTGGTCTATGGTAAATGGTCTATATTTACTGGGTTCTACCCCCCCCCCCCCAGATGTTTTACAACACAAAGGTGGGGGTGGGTGAATGACACACACACACACACACTGTCACACAGCAGTGAAGAAGGTGGTTTTGGCGACATGTGGGTTGTAAGCAGGTTCTGGTTTTGGTTCTGGTGTCCTTCCTGTGATCAGATGCAGCAGCAGGCGTGTCCTTGTGTCTGCTTATAAATGGATGTGTGTGTGTGTGTGCTGCTGTGTGTGAACTGGACCAGCCGGGTTCGTGGTGAGTGTGTCTTCTCTTTTTTGACAGCATCTGACTCTGATTCAGACTTTAGAATAGATTCAACCCGAACCTTTTTAACGGCTCTTCAGGCGTTGGCTCAAAGGAAAACCCAACGTTTCTTTTGTTCCGTATTAAATATTCCATCATCTGAGATGGACCAGACCAACGGATTAAAGCAGGAATCGTCTTAATGATTAAAAACTACGTGGAACAGCTGAGCCTAGCGAAAGATCTAAGCTCCCAGGTTTACCTTCAGACTGGATCTCTGGACATCCAAGAGAGACCAGAGCGTTTCTGGTGAGATCTGTTAAATATAATGAGCCGGACGAGGAAAACTTTAGAAGTTACAAGTAAAAACCAATTCAAAAATAAACAGGAAATCAGTGAAGAGAACAGGTTGTTTTCCTGGGATGCCTCAATGCCAGCATCAGGACTCAGACCTATTGTGTATCCCTACTTCTAAAGGTACTCCAATACCACAGTAATAGAAACATGGTACCAATAATACCACAGTAATAGAAACATGGTACCAATAATACCACAGTAATAGAAACATGGTACCAATAATACCACAGTAATAGAAACATGGTACCAATAATACCACAGTAATAGAAACGTGGTACCAATAATACCACAGTAATAGAAACGTGGTACCAATAATACCACAGTAATAGAAACGTGGTACCAATAATACCACAGTAATAGAAACATGGTACCAATAATACCACAGTAATAGAAACATGGTACCAATAATACCACAGTAATAGAAACATGGTACCAATAATACCACAGTAATAGAAACATGGTACCAATACCACAGTAATAGAAACATGGTACCAATAATACCACAGTAATAGAAACATGGTACCAATAATACCACAGTAATAGAAACATGGTACCAATACCACAGTAATAGAAACATGGTACCAATACCACAGTAATAGAAACGTGGTACCAATAATACCACAGTAATAGAAACATGGTACCAATAATACCACAGTAATAGAAACATGGTACCAATACCACAGTAATAGAAACATGGTACCAATAATACCACAGTAATAGAAACGTGGTACCAATAATACCACAGTAATAGAAACATGGTACCAATAATACCACAGTAATAGAAACATGGTACCAATACCACAGTAATAGAAACGTGGTACCAATAATACCACAGTATTAGAAACATGGTACCAATAATACCACAGTAGTGTAACCACCTTACATAGCATGATGCTGAGCTGCAGCAGCGGTGCTGGGGAAGATGAGAGGAGTCTAGTCCTGCAGCAGAAGCCTCGGTACTGATGCTTGGCGCTGGTAAAGCACACATGATGAATCGGTCACAGCCGATGGAAGCTGTCGAAGCATTTGCTTGTTTTTAGCTGCGCTTTGATGACGGCTGCGACAGAAGCGGCTGACTGAAGCTCTCGACCTGAAGAGCGGCTTCAGAATGTCCCGCATGGGACAGATTAGGCTCACGATAGAGCAGAAACTAGCTACTTCCTGTCTTGCTGGACCTGATACCTTTAGTGTAACAGTGATTTTATCTTTTAACATTCAATTCAAAAATACTTTATTAATCCCAGAGGGGAATTAGAGTTTCGGTACACACAATTCTGAGATCAGACATGCATACATAGACCCGTGACAAGAATTGGTGACTGTGGTCATTCGCAACCCGAGCCACGCTACCTTAATAGAAATAAGAGGGTTTTTATGAGGATAGTCAGGAGGAGGGGAAAAAGGCACTTCAGAGTTACCCTCCAAGGAGAGGGTGGCTTTGCTATGCAAAAATACACCTCAGACAGATATGCACACAGACTTCAGACGATACACATGTGTCCACTAGGTGGGGAGGTAGGGTTGGGACTCTCCTCACTTCAGTGCCTGCAGCCACATGGGGCAGCGCTCATCACCTCCATTTGGACAGGGGAGGGAGATAATGGGTTTGAGAGCACAGTGACTCCTAGATACGGTTCCACGGCCTTCAACGGTCACAGTCCCGCCCAGGCTGGGATAGGGTGAAAGAGTTTCCATAGCAACAGCAGCATTCCACATTTCTTCTGAGGGGGGAGTTTACACTTCAGCCTCACAGGCTTCAAGGGCACCAGATTCAGATAAAGATTGTTTGGGGACAGAGATAATTTCCTCTCTGCCTTAGAGTTCTGTTGGTCTTCAACCCCTCTAGATCCAATAATGGCGTAATTAATCAATCCCAATCCGTGCTGATCCGTCAACTCGCTCCTTGATGGAATCCACCTTCTGTGCCAGAGCCTGAATCTCAGCCAAAGTTCCAAGCTTACGACTCATCTCGACAATTATATGAGTTTGTGAGTTTACAGCGTGGTGTAATCCATCCCTGAGCTCCGGGATTGAGCCAATATTCCTCGAAAGCTCGTAAATTTTCCGGTAAGCCAGGTAACCGCTCAGGCCAAACAGCAGGAATCTCGACACCAAAACGACGAATATCCAAACATCTTCAGAATCCTCTACAGACAGTTGGGAGAGGCAGATCAGGTTCCGCTGTTTCCAGGAGTCCATGATATGTCCAGCTGGCTCTGTCCTGGAGGGGCATTCGGGAGCCCCTTCTCCCGTTTTCATCGTTGAAAAAATGTTGTCAATCGCGTTGAGAGACCAACTGACCAGATCCATGTTTAATCATTTCCAGTTTCCAGAAAAAATGCAGAAAGCGCCATGCACACAAGACAGGACAAAGAGCCTTGGGAAGAGGAGGGAGGGAGAGGAGAAAAAAGCATCTGTACTTTCCAAGAGCCGGAAGAAATATAACATAACTAAGAAAACATAACTAAAGGGATGAGCCAGGATAACCTAAGCTAACCGTAACTAGCAGATTTATCTAAGTCTGAACTGACTGACGTAACACTGATCAGTAATTCTAGATTCAGATAAAATCACACATTATCCCACACAGATGTGCGTGTCAAGGTGTCTGCAATGCATTGGTGTGTCCCTGGTTCCCATGGCGATCATCTGCATGTTGTCCAACGTTCTGCTGCTGCTTCCCGACTGGAAGATCCACTTCCTGTTGGAGGGTCACGTGACCAGAGAGGCCACCTGGGCCACGGGTCTGTGGGGTTCTGGTTTCTTGGTATGATGATGTGCGTGTGTTGTATGAGTCGAGTCCTTGTGCCACCGTCACAGATCCCAGCTGTGCTGGATGACGCAGATGTTTGTTTCCAGGTTCTACTCGGAGCTCGATCGTTTGTCCAGAGCAGCAGAACCCGAGGCTGCTGTGCTTTCAGGAGTCAGGTGAGCTTCTGACTTTCCTGGGATTTCTCAACCAGTAAGCTGGTAAAAAAAAAAAAAAAAAAGTGTGACAGCTTCCAGATGTGGCATTTCTCACAGGTGTTTTATCTTTTTGCTTCAGATGTTTTGCCAGGTGCTTTACTCCCTCCTGGGGCTTCTGGCCTCCTGCACCTGCTCTTTGGTCAGTGCTACTGGTCTGTCTCAGGGTCCTCTCTGTCTCTACAATTCATCCTCTGGTCTTACCTGGGGGGTCCCTCTGCAGCCCCAACCTGACAGGTGAGACAGAAACATGAAGAAGAGATCCAGATGTTTACACTGGCTGCTAATGTTGTCTCCGTGTTTTCAGACACTCTGGGTACCTGTACAACCAAAGTCTGTGGTCAGGGGTCTGTGTGGAGCCTTGCTCCGTGGTTCAGTGGAACCTGGTCCTGTTTGGTGTGATGGGGGCCACTAGCGCTCTTCAGGCCGTCATCTGTGGCTTTAGTGTTTTGAACTCCCTGCTGGGGCTGATCCTGGGTCAGGGCTTTTGCCACAACAAGGTTAGGACTCTCCTGTACCTGGGGGTGGGTAGTGTGTGTGTGGGTGTCAGAATCTGAACATGAGAAGCAAAGAAACTTTAACCCAACAGTAACATCTCCTTATTCCAAAGAGAAGTGTTCAGATCGAATAGTGAGAACCACGAGGCCCACTACCCTTAGACACCACCCGCCTCCGGAAGGTTGATAGAGACTTTGCTGTCCTGTCGCACCTGTCCAGTTGTGATGTTTTCTGAACCTACAGGATGTTCGATGTCCGGGATGAACATCACCTGTTTTGTGTTTCAGGTGAGACCAGTTTCCGTTTGAGACAACCTGCCTGGATCTTCATGAGAAACCAGCTGAGAAACTCCCAAATAAATTCAACGTTCTAATTTAAAGCACTTTAATCAGCCTCGTTACCTTGTAAAATGTCAGACTGATTTTTCTGGGTTTACCTCCTTTAAAGACGGGAAAGGTTTTTAGCTAGCTGGTAATGTGTATGATATTATTAATACATAATATTAATCTTTACAAATATTGTTTATTTTCTTTTTTTTTGGGGGGGGGGCTGTGTTTGTTAAATGTTATATGTGTGGTTAGAGCAACAAATCAGTTGATTCTGATTGAAGAAGGTAGGGCATCTCTTTCATCACGTGTGATTGTGTACTGTGAATCTGCCGGCCACCACCAGGGGTCAGTATTACTACCCCAAGGATGGAGCCATCCTCTTGCCCGGTTTGGCCCAAAAGCTGTAGATGGGTCTGGTTTGGCCCACCCTCAGAAGAGAAATGGGAGGGTGAACGTTCACTCAGACCAAGTCCGCCAAACTAGAACAAACCCTCCTGCCGGACTAGAATCAAGCTCACTCAGGAATCTTTTAATTATGTTTGTAAAAATAAAATTTTGTTTGACTTTTGACAAAATGTTTATCAAATTTATTTTATTTCATGTGGTTAACTTTATTTTCAATATCTTATCATATTTAATAAAAACTCTCACAAGAAGTCTCCTGATAAATGAGTTGGATTTACTGGTGAAGCTCAGTCAAGATTCCATAACACACTAAATTGAGGAACTAAATTTTTTTGTAAAACAGAAACAGAAAACAAATCCAATCTCACCCACAAGAAGCTGCTAATTACCCGCAATGCTCGGGTTATTAATGGTTAATCGATTTTTGAAGTAGCCTTCTTCCGTGTTTTGCTACTTGCTGGGGGCGGGGCCACAGTGACTTCACCTGTTGTCACTCAGGTAAACTTAAGTGCGACACAAACGCGCTCATAGGCGGAAGTCAAGTGTCGGCGGGCCAGATTCTCTCGTTTCTCTTCATTTCATTCATCTTCGCAGGATGTTGCTGAAGGTGTTTTTGTTGAGTTTTTTGGTCCAGTTCGGATCTGTTCTCAGCTGCGAATGGAACCAGTCCACCGGACCGAATCAGCGTCTGAACGTGTCCTCCCTGACCGAGGGCGCGCGGATCCTGGGCCCGGACATCGAAGTCTTGGATCCGGAAGGCTGCAAGGCGGCGTGCTGCGCCCATCCGGAGTGTGACCTGGCTCAGGTGGAATTCCCGGCGGACAGGACCCCGCTGTGCACGTTGGTGAGCTGTGTGAGCAATGGGCTCGACGTGTGCGCGCTTCAGCCCAGCTCCCACGGCTGGGTGTTCCGGAGAACGCTGCCGGAAGCCGGAGGAGAGTCACCGAAAGGGGAACGAAAGCTGTCTGTCGTCCCGCTTCAGGAGTCCCCGGGGACACCGCGGAGCAACGACTCAATCAACGGTAAGGAATCACTAATTAGTGATGATTGATCACGTGGTACTGCGGTCTGTCTGACCGGTGATGGAGCGTTTCCGGTTATTGAACAGTTCAAGTTCGGTTTTAGGGTGACAGGGCGTGGATCGACCTCTCCGTCCAGTAATTGTCAAAAAAACAAACATCTTTACTAACCCTTTACTGATCAGCTGATCATTAATTGGTCCTCTTGTTGACCGGAAGTGAGGAGGAGAAACAGCTGATGATCAAACTGATAAAAGTATCGAGACCTCGGACAATTTCCGGTGAAGAGGAATCCTGATTTTCCTGTAATGTTTTCCACTCCTTCACCTGTTGAGTCACTGCAGCAGGTGGAGGAAACGAGCTCAGGTGTCAGAGCGGTTCCGGTCCAACTGGTCTCTCTTGTTTCTATAAGTTCAGTCTTCATACCTGAGGGGGCGGAGTCTGACTAGAGACACAAACGCTGACCTTTGTTTCTGTTTATTCAAACCAGATTACATTGTTCTCGTGTGTGTGTGTGTGTGTGTGTGTGTGTGTGTGTGTGTGTGTGTGTGTGTGTGTGTGTTGCTGGACTCGAGGCCACTCCCATATTTAGGCTGAAGGTTTCAGTTCTGATTGAAAAGTAGAGTTTCATGTTTCTGTCTTTATTGTGAGTTCTGCTTCAGATTTCATCAAACGGCTACTGAACTCGACTCTAGATCGGTCTGATTTGGCCTCTGTTGTTTTGTTTCAGTTTTCTGTCGTTTGCCGATGAAGGTGGGACCATGCCGAGCAGCTTTCCCCAAGTTCTTCTACAATGTGACGAGTCAGAACTGCAGCGGCTTCATCTACGGCGGCTGTGACGCCAACGGCAACAACTTTGATTCTCGGCAGGAATGTGAGGCGACCTGCAGAGGAGTTACAGGTCATTGAAAAGCTCACTCATCTCTCCGTTCTCCTCTTTAATTGTGCTCCGTGTTGGTTTTCTAATAAAAAAAACACATGTCCACACATACTCAAAACTGTGTTAGTGTAATGTCCCTTTTCCTTACTGAACAAGTTCTGCTTAACTTGGCTCAGCTCAGCATGGGTTGCTTTTCCAAGGCAAACTGAGACATGACTCTAGTTACTCCACCCCCCTTGGAGGAGAAAACGGAATCAAACGGCTCGGAGTCACGCGGTGGGGAAAAGGGGCATGAGTCCGATCAGCCGCATAACAGAGGTTCTGAAACTCTGACATCAATCAGTGCGTTTACATGCAGCCAGTAACCCTTTTAAAACCCGAATATTCACAATAACCCGGTTCCGCAGGTCCTTGTAAACACTGCCAAAAACCCGGATATGCTCATAACCGGGTTTTAAAAACCCGGTTCCTACACCTGGGGTAACCCTTTTCTAACCCGAATGTTTGGTCGTGTAAACGCATATCGGGATATCCCCATCAAAGCGTGTGTTCTGCGCATGCTCTGTTCGCAAGGAATCTTGGTCTTTTGAGTAGCGAGACGTCTTGTATGCACCAGAACACCGGAAGTTAACAACAAGTTGGGAGCAACATGGCGAGTCGCGGCACAGCACCACACTTTTGGAGTGACGAGGAAACTAAAGCGCAAACAAACGCGGTCGCTATCTCTTCCGAACTGGGAAACATGTTGTTTTCACGGATACCGGAACAAGAAGAACCGGAAATGACGCATATTGCGTCTGGACGTAGTCCATACGTCCTGACGCTACCCCAACGTCTGCATTTAAATCGGGTTATGCAAGTTAGAGGTAACTCTTTCTATTTATGCTTGTAAACGAGTTATTCTGATCAACTCAGAAACCCGAATACCGACCTTAACCCGATCATAACCCGGATATTGGCTGCATGTAAACGTAGTCATTCATTATTCACCCGACTAGCATCTGGATTAACCTCTACAGCTAATTAGCATTAGCCGACACATAAACAAGATTCCACTTTCCAGAGATGTTCATGCAGCTGAGTGTGGTTCATGCTGACCCAGAACAGAGCAAACTAGAGGTGCTGAAAAAATCGATTCAAGTCTGAATCGGGATTCTTATTAATAAAGATTCAGAATCAATTCCAAGAACTCAAATATTTGGCGTGTTACAGGTTTGAGATGCACTTTTTTGATCTTTGTTAGGAGAGTCGGTACTCCGATTACTTTTGTGGTCCCATAAATTGAGATGATTTATGTTTGAATCTGCTGATAAGAGGGCACTTGAATGTCATTTTTTCCATTCTCAGAAATTTGAGATATTCTCATTTATTTTCTAAGTTGATAAATGAGTACTCATGATTACTCATGTAACTTGTTTCTACACATACTTAAAGTATTTGACCGTATTACTTTCAAAGCTACTGTTAGGTAACTACAGATTTGTTATATTTTACAAGGTAAGCAAAAATAAATGTTGCCTTTTGGTCAAAAGATTGTTTCTGTTTACAGTTTTAGAATCGCTTTATTTTACATTGTAAATTAGCATTTTTGGAGCACGACTAGTTTAAAGTCAAATAAAAACGTCCCATAGCTTTAACTAACTTGTACAACAAAGTAGTTAATCCTGGAGCTGACGCTCTTTGTTAATACTGATTGTGAATCGATTTAACTTGAGAATCGATTCAGAATCGAATCGGTACCCCGAGAATCGGAATCGAATCAAATCGTGAGTTGCTCTGAGATTCACATCCCTAAAGCAAACTGTTCCTTTCTTTCAAGGTTGGATCAAAGCTTTGATCTCCGCTTACGTGCCGAATGAACTTTCTGTGGTCTTGTAGGTCAGATCAGCTGACCTGGTGGTGGTGGTTGACGAGGGCTGTTCCCCCTGAGGGTGGAGGAACCTTAGACAAAACAGAACCAGAGCCGAGGCTTGAAAGGGTTTAGATCTGACAGATAAACCCAGCAGGCACAATGAGGTGTAGGATCAGGTTCAGTGCAATCCAAAACTGGATGAGGATCCATGTGAACACAGCTGCTCCCAGTTTAGATTACATAACCAACCAAACATCACCAGCCAGGGAGCGGTCCATACAGAACCAACACCAGAAAGGATGGGTCCAGACAAAGACTGCTCTGTTTCTTTAGCAAAGATCTGTAGGTAAACAAAGGGTCAAAGTTCAACTAGGAACTCTCTGACCTGAGACTTGCCTTCAGTTGTTCATCACACAAACAGAATCTCATTGGGATTCGCCGTAACTTCGGATCAACCAAAATCCCACTGAGAACTCGATCCTCAGGAGGCGGGCGGACCAACGAAACCCAGGAAGTGCCAAACTCTGAACATTGGATTATGTGGAATCACCTCCATCAGTCAGGATCTGGACCAGAAGCTGCTTTGGTGTGTTCTTGCTGTGTTGAAATTCTAATTCCATCTTTTAGTTCTTTTAAAACACACAAAGGTTTTATTTACCTGCAACGTTTCGTTGCAGGTAAATAAAACCTTTGTGTGTTTTAAAAAGAACTAAAAGAAGGAACTATGCTGTGAAAATAGACAAACTAAGTGTGTGTGTGTGTGTGTGTGTGTGTGTGTGTGTGTGTGTGTTTAGGTTCAGTTCTACCTGAAGACTCGACTCCTGCGCCTCCTCCTCAGCAGCCTGCCGCTAAAGCTCCTCGAATGGCTCCTGCTGAGTTTGCTGCCCCAGAGAGTAAAGGTAACTCCCCATTCATCAGTCACCATCAGCACACCTGTCCTGGACCGGAGGGTTTCCTGTTGCTGACGGTAGAGCTGCAGCTACGAGCTACAGCTTAAAGCCTGATTCATGCTTCTCCGTCAGCTCTGCAAGGGACAGACACTCACGGATTGACGGAAGCGTTTTGCTCTCAGACTTCTCCGTCTCGTGGAGAGTGTTGCAAAGCAATTCCCCGCCAGGACAACCGAGGGCGTAGCGCTGTTCTGTGGTATCCTGTCATGTATCGGACCAAGATAGTGTGTTTATATTGTTTTTTTGTAGATAAGAGACTTTTTAACACGGACAAATGTGTCTCTCATCCTCCTCCATCTCTTCGTGCGCTCGCCACCTCTAAACCCACGTTTCCTGTCATTTCCGCCCACAAATAAAACGCTTGCTGCGCATCTTTTCACTCCTCCAGTCACGGTGAATTAAACGTTCATATTTTTAGTTTTTTTCGCGAGGTATTCTTCAAGCTTCTCCGTGTCTGCCGCCAGTTATCCTCTGCTCTCTTTATGTTTTTGAGGGCGCAATGCCGGCGGTGTAGACGACAGCGGCGTCCTGACCAATCACAAGCTTGCGTTGTCCGTCTCGACTGTCGGATGTTTAGAAAAGAGAGCTCAACTCCGTCCGTCCTTGCAGAGCTCTTTGGCAGGTACGCAAGGACGTTGCGTGTCTCCGCACTGACGCAGACGGAGAAGCATGAATCAGGCTTAACACGACCTTAAGGTTGGTTTATGCTTGACGCATCCGCAAGGTCCGCGCGGCGAAATTGCGTCATTTTAACAACCACACCCCTCCACCGCGCCTCTGCATGGCCCAAAATTTACGCAACGCGCACCTAGGAAAATTTCTAACCACGCGGACGGTCGGACACGGAAAAACATGGCGGGCCGGCAAGAACTAGTATGGCAGAGGTTCGTAAATACAGACATTTGTATGATTCAGCTCTCAGAGATCACCGCGATAGAATAGAATAGAATTCAACTTTATTGTCATTGCACATGTACAGGGCAACGAAATGCAGTTTGCATCCATCCAGAAAGTGCTTTAGCCGTGATATAGATGTATTACAATATATGTTAGCAATAATATAGATGTGTAAGTATATTACAGAAATTGATCTATTACGTATGTTGTAATGTACACGGTATGAAGTATGTTATGAATATTCTATGACTAAGTATGTACAGGCTGTAGTTAATACAAGCAGTCCATGAGTTTAACGTGGGTCATATGTCAGGAGGCAGAGTGATCAACATGTTAATAATTCTTGGAGAGAAATAGTCGGAAAAGACGAGGACGCGGTTAAAAAATGCTGGAATGCAGTAAACAGTAATTTTTACTTCTAAGGTGTAGTGTTGGATGCATGCTGTAGAGCTCCATGCTGCCCCCTACAGTTTGGGAGAATAGTGGCTCACCGCAGAGACAAGCCGCATGAACCATAAACGCTGCGAGTTGTGAAGCGCGTTCCATCCGCGAGCCGCATCACCAAGCGGAAAGTGAATGCGTCTAGCATAAACCAAGCTTTAGAGGGAACTCTTGATGTTGCCGGCTGCAGATCTTATTTTAAAAATACGAAAACTTTAAAGTAATTATTAAAATGTGTTACGGATATTTTTTCAAACAAAGCAGCAAAAAAAAAAAAAATCTTTCAACTTAAATATAGAAAGCTATTTAAAACAAATTTGTCCAGTTTCTGGCTTCAGTGCAGATCAATCGTCCGATTAATCCTTTATGCCCTAGGCCTTTTTTCTTTGGGCCCTGGCGCCTCCCAATTGGAGTTTCATGTCCCAAGTGTCGGTGATTGTTTGCATTCCCCGAGCACAGCTACAGCTACAATCACAACAGTTTAGATTGTAAACAAAGCAATTTTTGGAATTTGATACGTTAAGATAAAATAATACTTGAACTTTGTTTTAGAAGAGCTGCCCTGTGTGAACGTGCTGACAGGATGGAGGTTGTGAGTTCAAATTCCATTTAGGAAATTTAGTCATTTGTTTAATTTATTCCAGGGGTCCTCGACTAAATTTGTTCAAGGTTTTTTTTCTTCCAGCAGACACCAGAGAAGGCCAGATGCTCTTCTAAAATAAGTTCAAACATCATTGTATCTCAATTTATTTAGGCCCGAGCAGCGAAAGCGCTGCGAAGGCCTATTGTATCTGCTCTGTTTATTTTTCTTCCGCCAAGTAAATTGGCTTTTTGAAGGCCTTAACATACCCGAAAACTCAGGAATTTTTGCAGACTTGTCAGGCGTGGTGTAAAATTTTGTATTTTAAAGGTCCCAAAAATATTGCTATAAAACTAGCTCCACAGCGCCCCCTAGAATGTGAAAAATACCCCCCTCCATAATCCTTAGTTTGTCGTACACTTGTAGTACTCAACAGTCCGCACAGAAAAGCCTCTTGCAACCGTGGTCAACATCAAACAGGAAGTCGGCCATTTTGGTTTGAAGTGGTGATTTTGACCCCGTTTTGGCCGTTTCTAGGGGCCGCTTCTGATATATTTTGATCTTTTTTCGCACGATCATCTCAAAAGTTGTGGGAAATTGCTCAGCAGGGAACTTTATGGGAGTTTTCAAAGGAGGGCGGTGCTGTGGCGGCACGGCGAAGTCAGGCGTATCGCCGTGGCCATACGTTTGCCTCCAATTTTTTCATTTCTAAAGATATCGCCAAGAAACTTCTGGTGAGTGATCCTAGTCCGGCCCCCCAAAAAATCTGATTTGAAAATCTGGTGGGCGTGGCCTATTTTCTTAATGGCGGCCCCTAGGACTATTAAAACTGTCAGCCCCAAGCTGTGCTTTGACTGAGGATTATGAAATTTGGTACACTACTGTAGTGTCTCAGGACCTACAAAAAAATCTCTTGGAGCCAAGCGCAAAGTCACATAGGAGGTCGGCCATTTTGGTCCAAGTGCTCGATTTAGTGGATTTCACACACGTTGTTTTGAGAATGATGCCCCGTCGCCCTTTTCACCGATCACCTCAAACTTCTGCTCTATACTCTTAAGACATAGGGAAAAAATTCAGCCATCGGATTTTTCAAAAGTTGAAAGGTGTGGGTGTGGCTAAGCCTCAAACTTTGACCTGTCTCCACACCACTTTTTTCACAGCTCCCTGTAGGACTCCTTTCACCCAATCACCAGCAATCTCTGGCAAATAGCAGTAGACAAGTTGAGGTCACTTGGTCTCCAGTACTGGCAGGTTTCAAAAAAAGGCGGGGCTTTAGGAACATGGCGAAATTTGCCATGGAAATACGTTTGCCTCTCATTTCCTCAGTTATCATGATATCGCCACGAAATTTCTAGTGACTGATCCTAGTCTGACCCCCAATAGAAATGAGTGTATAGGTTGGTGGGCGTGGCCTATTTTCTGAAATGGTGCCCCCTAGGACCATTAAAACTCTCAGCCCCAAGCCATGATTTGACTGAGGATTACAAAAATTGGTACACTAATGTAGTGTCTCAGGACCTACAAAAATTCTCTTGGAGCTATGCTTAATCATGCACAGGAAGTCGGCCATTTTGGTCTAAGTACTCGATTTTGTGGTTTTCGCACATGGCGTTTGGAGAGTGATGCTCCGTCGCCCTTGTCAATGATCGCCTTCAAACTTCTGCTCTATACTCTTACGACATAAGGGAAAAATTTCAACTGTTGGATTTTTCAAAAGTTGAAAGGTGTGGGCGAGGCTAAGCCTCAAACATTGACCTTTCGCTACTAAATTCATTGACGTAATAACTCCCATGCACATGATCAGATCTATATCAAACTGTCTATGTGATCACTGACCACATGTCAAGACAATTACAATGTGGACAGCTGACATCACCTAAGCCCCGGCCCCTGACAACAGGAAGTCAATTGTTTTATGGTGAAACGCCCATATTTGTCCCCTCTAATTTAGTCAACATGACACTAAGGTCATGCACTGTCTTCATGATGCTGTAATGACCATTCAGTTCTGATAGCTTTCCAGATAGGGAGGGGCTTTGATGCCATGGCGAATTCTGGGGTAATGCCATGACCTTACGTTTGACTGGAACTTCCACAAACCGCCTCCGATCTACACGAGAGTGAACATGGCAATCAACAATCATGCCCTTTAGCCAATGAGACACAAATGGTTGAACTTTGTATAATATAACCACAGGGCCCCCTACACACCTTTAAAACTGTAATAACTCCTACAGACGAGGTCGCAACTGCACCAAACTTGCTATGCGTCATCACACAAAGGCACCCAACACAATCCTATGGTCATTGGTTGATATCACTTTAGCTCCACCCCCTGAGAGACATTAGGCCCTGAATAACACATTCATTATGCACTTCACACCAAACTGCATGCAAATGATTGTTGTGAACCTGCAAACTGCTCCATGGGATATGTTCCTAAATTTGGGACAGCGCCCCCTAGATAGAATAAAACCTTTAACTTTTACAAAAAGCTCCAAACTATATCAAACATGGTGGGAGTCATCACACAACTGCAGTCAACACATGTATGTTCTCACTCGTTCAAATCACTTTAACTCCACCCACTTAAAGCATTTTGCCTCTAGATGACCCAAGCAACGTTTGATTGATGCCAAATTAACAGAAAACCATCTTTGATGACCAAAGATGACCTCTATGGGATTTAGTTGTAAATGGTCACAGCACCCCTAGATAGGTTCAAACTTTTTGTACTTCTAAAGACAAGGTCAGAATGGCATTATACTTGGCTTGTGACATCACATGACTGCACCAAACACATTGATGTGGTTGTTGGTTCAAACCCCTTTAGCTCCACCCCCTTTCGGCTCTCTGGCTCTAGATAGCGCACATGTCTGATTTATGCCAAAATAACAGAAAACCACCTTTGTCAACCAAAGCTGACCTCAATGGGATTTTTCTGTAATTGGTCGCAGCGCCCCCTAGATAACTTTAACCTTCAATAACTTCAAAAAACGTGGTCAGAATAGCATTAAACTTGGTCTGTGTCATCACACCACCAGTGTGGTAAAGATAAAGTGTCCCCTAGTGGTGAGATTTGTAATTTGATGGTGGGCTCAGAGGAGACCTTGAGTCAGGGTGAGGTGCGAACGAGGACACCGTTCGTGGTTTCTGGTGTCGGGGTGGTCGACGTTTATGTTCTGTGGACGTGACCGGGTGCACCGGGCTGCCGGCCAGGCCGGAGCGGCGTGGAGCTGCGAGGGCCGAACAACACTGCTTGCAGCTTTAATTACATTTTAAAATGGCCTTGTTTCCAATCTGGGCTGTTTGATTGTGGTTTTAGTTGTGTTTGGAGAATGTGGACATTTGTAGATGTTTGGGACATGAAACTGTGGAGGCCCCCGATTAGGGGGCGTTAGGGTTAGTGCTTTTGGAGAACGTTTGTAAAACATCCCCCAGATGTCAACATCCCACTCCTTTGAACCTAAACTGATCCATATAACCAACATCTGTCCAGCTGCTCCACACTTGTAGCCGCTGCCATGTTTTCAGCTGAAGAACGCGCAGCTTTATAGCTTCATTAGCCATCGTGGGTGGCCAGTATAGTCACCATTTCTACCGTACGCGGTTTACAATGCCCACTTCTACTCTGAGGTGTCTTGCTGAGGTCATGATGGCCAATAAGACTCACCAGTGGTTTGTTTGTACCTGCAGAGCCACCAGCTGACCTGTACTACGGTAGGTAGCACCTCCTTTTTACACGTTTTGGTGATTTTTTTTTTTTCTTAATCTCTGGGATCTACAATTTTTCCTAGACCTGGTACTTGGAATCCTGCTCTGCATTTTTAAATGTTTCCTCTCCCCTGATTCAAACTTCCTGTTCAGTGTTTTTTCATGAAGTCCGGCTCCTGAAACGATCAGGACCATGTGAGCGGAACTGTGTGGGTTTTAACAATCTTTACCTGTGTGATACCGTCCAATCAGAGCTCTGTGAGGCGAAGGTCGAGGTGGGTCCCTGCAGAGCGTCGATGAAGCGTTGGTTCTTCAACAAGGAGACGGGGAGCTGTGAGCTGTTCTTCTATGGAGGTTGCAAAGGAAACCAAAACAACTATGAGACTGAGGAGAGCTGCAAGGCAACCTGTGCAGGTAAAGCATCTGTCTTTCTGTGTTCAAGTGAGACAGATGGTCCTGCTGTGTGTCACAGGTGTGTGTCTCTTCCAGGTGCCGCAGTCCTGCCGTCTAAGAAACATCCAGATGAAGACCAAAGTCACGGGGACATCAGAGGTGAGACAGTCAGACGTCCTGAGGGTTGCGCTACAGACGCCGTATCAGATTATCTGTTTGCGCGATGCATTGTGGGTAAATGCTGGATCTGTTTCAGAACACTGCATGTTGAGACCCGAGACTGGACCGTGTCGCGCTGCCTTCCCTAAATTCTACTACGACCCAGACTCCACCTCCTGTAAGAGTTTTGTGTACGGCGGCTGTGGCGGTAACGACAACAACTTTGAATCCTTGGAGGACTGCATGAAGAGCTGCAGCGGAGACGGTAAACGCCCAATTAAAAGAAACTTTCATCGTTTCCTGACAAAAACAGGGACTCTGTTGGGGTTCTGGAACACTGCGGACTCTGTCCAGCCCAGAAATCTCTCTTATGCAGAGACGATCCTTAGACGACCTATCGGATTGGTTCTTCTAGTAGACACGTTCAGTGCGTTTACATGCAGCCAGTAACCCTTTTAAAACCCGAATATTCACAATAACCCGGTTCCGCAGGTCCTTGTAAACACCGCCAAAAACCCGGATATGCTCATAACTGGGTTTTTAAAAACCCAGTTACTACACCTGGGGTAACCCCTTTCTAACCCGAATGCTTGGTCGTTTAAATGCATATCGGGCCATCCCCATCAAAGCGTGTGTTCTGCGCATGCTCTGTTCGCAAGGAATCTTGGTCTTTTGAGTATCGAGACGTCTTGTATGCACCAGAGCACCGGAAGTAAACCACAAGTTGGGAGCAAAATGGCGAGTCGCGGCACAGCACCACACTTTTGGAGTGACGAAGAAACTGAAGCGCAAACAAATGCGGTCGCTATCTCTTCCGAACTGGGAAACATGTTGTTTTCACGGATACCAGAACAAGAAGAACCGGAAATGACGCATATTGCATCTGGACGTAGTCCATACGTCCTGACGCTACCCCAACGTCCGCATTTAAATCGGGTTATGCAAGTTTGAGGTAACTCTTTCTATTTATGCTTGTAAACGGGTTATTCTGATGAACTCAGAAACCCGAATACCGACCTTAACCCGATCACAACCCAGATATTGGCTGCATGTAAACGTACTCCGTATGAGAACATCCATCTCCCAGCACTGTCTCGTTTTAACACGGGGCTTCTTGTGGCTCAAACCCAAAACAAGGAATATTTTAAAGGGGGTGTGGCTTCCAACAAACAGGTGTTCATTGGTGTGACAGCATTGATTCCCCTTTGACATTGCTCAACAGAAATGCCTCCATATGGTACCATGAAATGTTAATTATAGTCCCAGTTACCCAGAACCCCAAATATCTTGTAAATCATGAAATCAGTTGTTGGTTTAACCCCATCCGACCTGTGTGTCCATCCCACTTGGTCTTGCCTTGCAGGTTCACCTGGCAGACATGGCACAACACGAAGCCAGTGGACTGCAGGTGAGCTTGTCAGATCTCGATTGTCTCCTACCTTCATGACTTAGCGCTTTGGTTCACTTCAGGTTATGATTCAGTTTCTTGGTGGTTGACAAACCACATTTTGAGGGTGTGTGAATGGATGAATGATTCACTGTAGTGTGAAGTGCTTTGGAGTCCTCTGACTCTGAAAGGTGCAGGTCGGTTATCATTTTATCGTTATGACGGGCTCATTGGATTTTTCAGGCTTCGCAGATGAAAGAACCAAATATCATCAGGACATCAATAGAAATATTGTGTAATAATTTGATCCAATGGAAGCAAATGTAGAGTAAAGAGAATGAGACCATGCACTGAACCCTGAGGAACTACGTTGGCTGTTTCTGGTGTTATAATGGGAATGGGGGGTGTTCCAGGTGGGGCTTAACCCCATCACTCAATATTCTCTTTTAGTCTTTTCCCACTCAGATCTTCATCTTTTTGTTTTCTGCAGCTTTCTTCCTCTTCGTAACTCTGGCTGTCATCTGCACTCTTCTGCTGGCGACCCTCATCATCATCACTCTGAGGCGCCACCGGCTGTCTCGTCGTCCATCCTCAGTCAGGTACTGATGTCTATGGGAAAACTGCAAGTCACATGGCCATGAGTCTTCCAAGTGGTACATGCCTTCCTGGTGTCTTACTCGAACTTGTCTTTGTCTGTCTCACAGCGATAAGCAAGAGCTGCTACCAGACACAGATGAGCTGTCCTCTCTGGACTCGATGACTGTCCCTGAAAGTCCCAAACCAGAACTAAAGGCCTGAGGAGGCTCTTGGGCCATCAGGGAACTGATCCTTCCTCCTATTTTGTCTCAAACATTCTTCAGGGTTACAAATGTGATCGGAGGTCAGATCAAAGGCGGCTGCAGTTCTGGGGTGAATCTCATGTTTCTGCTAACATTAAATGTTTTTCTCCACAGCATCTGAATGTTGCTCAATCTGCTGATTATTATTTTTTCTATCGCCTATTTAAGTCGGCTTCAGGTCAAAGGTCAGAATCAACCTATTAATGATCAGCTTTCCTTAGATGGATTTTACTGATGTTGAATTGTAGATTTTATGTTTTGCAAAGTTAGCTTTTGTTCTTTGATTCAATCGGGAAGCTGTTTGATCAGTTGTCAATATTCTGTGTGATCAAGGTGTGGGATTAATTATTCAATCAGATGTGTGTATTGATCAATCAACTTTGACTGTCAGGTGAAACGTAACGTTCAATAAATTATGTGAATGCTTTTTCCCATGATGCACCTGATCCCTGAAGGCAGAAGTTTGAATGAATCAATTTTATTGTTTGTTGAATTCTTCAACTCGTTTTTATTTATCACATATGAAAATAAACTTTTATTTCCTCTGAAAGTGACTAAGATGTTTTTATTGTGATCAATGATCTGATCGGGAACAGATGAATACGACTGAGCTCCTCCTTTACTTTGAAATTCCAATCAGTTCATGATCAGTGGGATTGTGTCAGGGTGGGTTAAATATCTAATGTGTGTTTCAGGTGTTCATCACATTTTGATAAATCAATAGGTCAAACGTTGGCTTTTATCAGAGAAAATGTTACAGTAAGCATATCAACTGTTGTCGTGTGGTCAAAAACAACAAACAGGCTAGACTACTTCTGTTTCATTACTGTCCTAATAACGACAATTAATTTTCATCAATTTAAAATTGAACAAAATAGAACTGCTTGTTGGGAAGTAAATTTCTAACAAAATTTTTTAAATGCCAACATTTTTTTTAGGAAAAATAACTACCTAACAAGTCAACTAATAGTGTAATATTTGAAGGTGCAATATGTAAGAATGACATCCTGTGGTCAAATTGAAGTAATGCAGTCCTTTATATATATATATATATATATATATATATATATATATAGGTGTGTGTGTGTCTGCTTTGTCTTCTCGATCCCCAGTGAGTCGTGGAGGATGACTGCTTATACTGAGCCAGGATTCTCAGGAGGTTTCTTCCTGTTAAAAGGGAGTTTTCCTCTCCACTGTCGCTGCATGCTTGCTTAGTATGACGATTGCTGTATAGTCACTGACACTCGTCAGTGACTTGATGCAATTTGCTGGGTTCCTTATATAGGAAACATTATTTCTGATTGGCTTAATGAACTGTGAATTGGAATGTTTATTATGTGAAGTGCCTTGAGATGCCTCTTGTCATGATTTGGCACTATATAAATTAACTTGAATTGAATTGAATATATATATATATATATAAACAAAACATCACTTTTTCCTCACTGCCATTATGTGAGTTGCATGGCTGTTACAGATCAGCACCAGAAGATTCTAGATGACAAGCGAAGAAGGGTCATAAGCGAATAAGTCGATAAATACATCGTCAAATCTGGTGTTAGGGCTTTTGAGTGTTTTACGGTAGGGAGAGATGACGACATTACAGCAGTATGTCTCTGGCATTGGTTTGCTGTTGGCTTGTTATGGTTTGAACAACTCAATAAAATAAATAAAATGCCACAATTGACTCATTCACTTCCAATACAGTTCAGTTCACCACGCCATTCAGTAAAACATTTCCCGTATAAGGAGTTGTAATGGTAATTGAAATGGTAGAGTTTTATTTGCTCCTAAGTCACCAGGAGCATTGGTAGCCTTTAGCCTTACTCACATAGATGAAAACAAACGATACTGTAGTTATAAGTTTAGAGTACAAGAAATTTCTTTCTCCTGACATGACTGAAACAGACTGATTATGCTAAATTCTTGCATATTGAGAATCATACTAGTAAAATTATAATTGTATGAAATTCATCTTTTATAAACTGTTAAACATCTCTGATTCAAAAATGGGTGTTTTTTAAAATATTTTTCCATCCATCCATGACGACCAGATGACAGCAGAAAAGAGCCAAAGTGACGTAACTGTGTTTCCGCCCGGAAGTGTTGTCCAGAGCCAAAATGGCGCAACAGCTGCAGCTGGTTTCGGTTCAGGTGACAAACGGTACCGTTAAACATTCAGATCATTGAGAGACCGGAGCGAGGTGACCGGAGAGCCGCACAAGGCCTGCCACCCACCGGACCGCGCACGAACGCCGTGAGTGACGTCATTGCTCGGTGTGGAACATGCTAGGCTTTACAGCTAACACGCTAATGCTAACGTGTTGAGTCACCGTGATTTACCGGGAGTTTACCGGCTGCGGAAGTATGAAGGTTGGCTCATAGCTCAGTTAGACTGTTATAGTATTAGAGGTGACCCGGTAGGATCTGGTTCAGGTTCTGTCCGCAGAACATTGAGCCAACAGTTCGCGGTCTACCGTGCAGCTCGATGAGCTTCGAGCAGAACAGGTAAGCTTCATCTCACTGATCACGTGATCGTGTGCAAGTATTCAGATGTTCATTCTTTGTTAGCATTAAGTCACGTGCTTTCCGTCTTTAGTCCTCGACAACGGAAGGTCAGTTAAGGTGGTCCACAGGGTCCTGTTCCGGATACCTGTTACCTGTGCGTTTCAGGTTGTGATGGCTGAGCGAAGGGTGGAGTGCACTTGGAAGAGACACATCTCTGAACAGCTTAAGCTCAGAGATCGAATTCAGAGACACACCTTTGAAGAGATTGTCCACCAATGTGAGTCAAGACCCCCCCCCCCCCCCCCCCCCCACACACACACACACCACACACACCTGTGTGTGTGGGGGGTGTTTACAGTAACTTGTGTTTCAGATAATCGTCTCCTGGAGAAATCCGACTTGCAGAACGTCCTCACAGAGAGATACCAGGTGGACAAATATGAAGTTCAGAGAGGACATGAGGCCAGGTGAGAGGTCAGTTAGGGACGAGTTGAGATGCTACAAGGTGTCCCATCGTGAAACCATACATCCAGGTGTTCCCATTAGGTTTAGAGGTAACAAGCTTACCTGGAGCAGGTGAGTTGGCATCCTCTAACTCTGTCTCTTTCCTGTCCCCTCTCATGTCTCAGTCCCTCAGACCCATCTCGCGGTGAGCTCCAGCAGCAGGAATTGGCTCAAATGAAGATTCGCCATCAGGAGGAGCTGACGGAGCTACACAAGAAGCGAGGAGAGGTCAGTGTCTCTGCCTGTCCTACAGCTGTCCTTCTGTGTCTCTGGAGGTTGTCTACCTCACCCATATGGTTGAATTTGGGCCACAGGCACAGTCGGCTGCCTCTAATTTAACTGTTTACATAAATAAAATCACAGAAAAAGAAGTTTCATTTAATAATTATTCCAACAAGCAGTTCGGTTTATTTATGTAGCGCTAAAGCACGACAAGAGTCGCCTGAAGGCACTTTGCAAAGTAAACATTTAGTAAACAGTAAAAGTTTCAGATTGAGGAGGAGCAATGTGGTTTTCGTCCTGGCCGTGGAACTGTGGACCCGCTCTATACTCTTGCAAGGGTGATGGAGGGGGCATGGGAGTTTGCCCAAGCAATCATATGTGTTTAGTGGATTTGGAGAAGGCTTATGACCGTGTCCCCAGGGGCACCCTGTGGGGGACGCTCCAGGAGTATGGGGTGGGTGGCTTTCTGTTAAGGCCCATTCAGTCTCTTTACCAGAGGAGCTTGAGTTTGGTCCGCATAGCCGGTAGTAAGTCGGACCTGTTCCCAGTGAGGGTTGGACTCCGCCAGGGCTGCCCTTTGTCACCGGTTCTGTTCATTACCTTTATGGACAGAATTTCTAGGCGCAGCCGTGGTGTGGAGTGTGTCGAGTTTGGTGGCAGGAGAATCTCGTCTCTGCTTTTTGCGGATGATGTGGTCCTCCTAGCTTCATCCAGCTCTGACCTTCAGCTCTTGCTGGGTAGGTTCGTGTCCGAGTGTGAAGCGGCTGGGATGAGGATCAGCACCTCCAAATCTGAGACCATGGTTCTCGACCGGAAAAGGGTGGCTTGCCAACTCCGGGTCGGGAGAGTTCCTACCTCAAGTGGAGGAGTTTAAGTATCTCGGAGTCTTGTTCACGAGTGAGGGTAGGAGGGATCGGGAGATCGACAGGTGGATTGGTTCGGCGTCTGCAGTGATGCGGGCGCTGAGCCGATCTGTCGTGGTGAAGAGGGAGCTGAGCCAGAAAGCCAGGCTCTCGATTTACCGGTCGATCTACGTCCCAATCCTCACCTATGGTCATGAGCTTTGGGTAATGACCGAAAGAACGAGATCGCGGATACAAGCGGCCGAAATGAGTTTCCTCCGTAGGGTGGCCGGGCTCAGCCTTAGAGATAGGGTGAGGAGCTCGGACATTCGGGAGGGACTCGGAGTAGAACCGCTGCTCCTCCGGATCGAAAGGAGCCAGTTGAGGTGGTTCGGACATCTGGTCAGGATGCCTCCTGGACGCCTCCCTGGGGAGGTGTTTTGGGCATGTCCTGCCGGCAGGAGGCCCCCGGGTCGACCCAGGACACGTTGGAGAGGTTACATCTCCAATTTGGTCCGGGAACGCCTTGGGGTCCTGCCAGAGGAGCTGTTGGAGAAGGCCGGGGAGAGGACGGTCTGGAGCTCCCTAGTTGGGATGCTGCCCCTGCGACCCGGATAAGCGGAGGAAGACAACGACGTAAAAGTTTCCTAAATAAGGAACCCTGCGGATTGCATCAAGCCTCTGACTAGTGTCCGTGTCTTTACAGCAATCACCTTTCTAAGCAAGCATGCAGCGAAGTCTGAGACTGAAGTGCTCAGTTAGGAACACGTGGAAGAGTCCCTTTGAGTGGGGGAGTAAGCAAACATTTTGAACACTGCCTTGGTTACATCATTAATGTCTCATCCAGACTTAAAGAGCAAGTCACCCCCTACCAGATTGTTAAGCCTTGGCCACACCGGAGGCGGACGCGTCGTGCCAGAGATTTTGAGAAGACAAGTGGTCACACAGGCCGCGCCGCTGAGCGCTTCTAGGCTAAAGGTCAAAGGTGACAGATCATCTGCTGCTGTGGCCCCCAGACTCTGGAACTCTCTCCTCCTGAGCCTGAGATCAGTGGACTCAGTGGTCTCCTTTAAAAAGCAGCTGAAGACTCACCTGTTCAGGCTTTGGTGGGACCTTCATCATCACCTTACCCTTGTTCTGCTCTCCCCACCTATTCCACCTTCCCCAGGATCCACTGATTTCCCTCTTTCCTATTCACTCTCTCATTCTTTGCATTTTTTTTAATCACAATTGTCTATTTTTGCTTATTTCAAACATTTTTAATAATTTTAAAAATCTTTTTTATATTTTAAATTGTTCTTGTGAAGCGTCTCGTGATTTTTATTTTGAGAGGTGCTGTAGAAAAGCTTTCTTTCTTTCTCTCTCTCTCTCTCTCTCTCTCTCTCTCTCTCTCGCTCTCTCTCTCTCTCTCTCTCTCGCTCTCTCTCTCGCTCTCTCTCTCTCGCTCTCGCTCTCTCTCTCTCTCGCTCGCTCTCTCTCTCGCTCTCTCTCTCTCTCGCTCTCTCTCTAAGTTCGGTCTCAAACTTTTGGAGTGTTCCACTGGTTCCACAGGTTGTGATGTTAACTTGGTTACAACTCACTGTAAATATGTTTTTGACCACTGAAAGAAAGGTTGATCACATCACACCTGTTCTGGCTGCTCTTCACTGGCTGCCTCCTTTTAACTCATTCGCTGCCAGCGTATCTCACTGTTTTTACTTCTTTTTTTTTTTAAGAGTCACAGAATGTTGCGCTAGGATGATTTCGACGCCAAAACTACCAAAACAAAGCAGAGACTCACCTCTTACATCAGGAAGAATCTGCGCGTTTCGAGCGTTATCCGTTCTTTCATAATCCGTTGTTGAATTGTGATCGACGGAAGCTTTTCCGGTTCGCGCCTCACTTTTTTTTTACAGCAGCGGCCCAAAACGATTTCCTAACACATGGATGTTTACTTCCTGATCACGTGACATGTGACGTATGCGGATGATCGGCTTTAGAGCTGAGATGTTTGTTCTCACGGTGCGGGGGCTCGTCCGACGCCCACACAGAAAAAAAAAATGCAAATGACGACTTTAGTCGTCATTGGCAGTGAATGAGTGAATGGTCTTTAAGACTGGCTCCAGCTTATTTGATGGGGTTGGTGCAGCCTTCTGTACCTGCACGAATGGTTCTGTGCTTGGTCCGAAACTCGTTACTGTAACTGTGTTTCTATTTGGTCAAATTATTAGACGTCACAGGAAAATTTTCCATTTCCATTCATGCGACTGGTTCCAGATACCATTAAACTGTTGTGTTTGTGCAGTTGGCTCAGAGTGTCATCGAACTTAACAACCAGATCCAACTGAAGGACAAAGAGATCCAGAGCAACGAAGCGAGGTAAGTGGACGCGCGCACACACACACACACACACACCCCTAATCAGAGGCGAACCACCCACAGCAGCTGATCTTTAATCCCTTTTCAGGATAATAGAATATCAGCAGCAGAGCGACCGCTTGGAAGGAGATTGTCGTGAGCTGAGGACCAGCCTTCAGGTATGTCAGATTCACCTGGAAATGTGGGTTCCAACACCTGAGGAAGGTCGATGATGAGAAGTAAAAGGTCTGATCACCCACAATCCTCTGCTGCCTCTGGCTCCAAGCAGCTTGCTTTCTGATCCCATCATGCTCCAGTGATGCAGCCATGGGCGCAGCAGCTGCTGACACTCAGGATGTGACATCACAGAGAGGCTGCAGTGAGAACCTGCAGCCTCTCTGTGATGGTGATTGACATCCAACACAACCAATCAACACAGAGCGCCAGGCAGAGGAGGAGGAGGGAACTGATCTCGAGTTTTCAACCTGAGAGCTCCAACGGTCATGGTCCAGTCGGCCGACAGGGTTATGTGACCACAGATCACAGATCTCTTTGTTCTCCTGCAGGAACTGGAGCAGGCCAATCAGACGCTAAAAGATGAGTATGATGCTCTCCAGATCACCTTCTCAGCTCTGGAGGAGAAACTGCGTAAGACCACGGAGGACAACCAGGAACTGGTGTCTCGCTGGATGGCTGAGAAGGCTCAGGAGGCCAACCGACTGAATGCAGAGAATGAGAAAGACAGCAGGTCAGGGTTGGGGGTGAGTGTTCGGCTTCTGCAGAGTAGATCTGTGACGTAACAGCTGTTCGTGTTCCAGGCGGAGACAGGCCAAACTGCAGAAGGACCTTGCAGATGCTGCCAAAGAACCACTACCCATCGAACCGTCAGTGACTCGTCTCCGTGTTTCCGTCTCCAACAAGCAGAATCTACAGCTGTGTCTGCATCTTGACTCTGTGTGTCCTCCTCAGGGAGGATGACATCGAGGTCCTAGCTGAGGATGGAGGGAAGGGAACAGGAGAGACCTCCCCCAACCGGCCCATCGGCAGGACTCTCAGGTGAGACTAGACTGCAGGTGGGGTGCTCTGCAAGTTCACTCATAAACAGCACCAGTCTGACAACACAGTCAGCAGAACCACCTGTCCTCCCCGCTGGTCCAGTCTCATCGCTGTCTTACGTCTTTTCTTCTGTCTTTCAGCAGGAAAGCAGGCCAGCAGCCTCCTGGCGGTCTGCTCGACTCCATCTCCAACATGTTTGGGTACGTCCCTGTTTATTCTACACCTGTTCATTCTACACCTGTTTATTCTACACCTGTTTATTCTACACCTGTTCATTCTACACCTGTTTATTCTACACCTGTTTATTCTACACCTGTTCATTCTACACCTGTTTATTCTACACCTGTTTATTCTACACCTGTTTATTCTACACCTGTTTATTCTACACCTGTTTATTCTACACCTGTTTATTCTACACCTGTTCATTCTACACCTGTTTATTCTACACCTGTTCATTCTACACCTGTTTATTCTACACCTGTTTATTCTACACCTGTTCATTCTACACCTGTTTATTCTACACCTGTTCATTCTACACCTGTTCATTCTACACCTGTTTATTCTACACCTGTTTATTCTACACCTGTGTATTCTACACCTGTTCATTCTACACCTGTTCATTCTACACCTGTTTATTCTACACCTGTTTATTCTACACCTGTTCATTCTACACCTGTTCATTCTACACCTGTTCATTCTACACCTGTTCATTCTACACCTGTTTATTCTACACCTGTTCATTCTACACCTGTTCATTCTACACCTGTTCATTCTACACCTGTTTATTCTACACCTGTTTATTCTACACCTGTTTATTCTACACCTGGTCATTCTACACCTGGTCATTCTACACCTGGTCATTCTACACCTGGTCATTCTACACCTGGTCATTCTACACCTGGTCATTCTACACCTGGTCATTCTACACCTGGTCATTCTACACCTGGTCATTCTACACCTGTTTATTCTACACCTGTTTATTCTACACCTGTTCATTCTACACCTGTGGGCCAGTGGCAAGAGCCAGCTGTTTCTGGGAGGGACCTTTTAAAATGGGGCCCACTCAGCAGCCCTCCACACAGTCGTTCCATTCAGGTTGAAATAATTCCAGCTGGAAGGGTTGTCATAGCGGAGCGGTATGTAGGTGTTGGTGGAAATAGGCTGTTAGTCTCCTTGGGCACGAGATGACCATGTGTAACCCAGAGGTGTGACCAAGTCACTGCATTGCAAGTCACAAGTAAGTCACAAGTCTTTCCGGTCAAGTCTCGAGTCAAGTCCAAGTCAAAGACAACCAAGTCCAAGTCGAGTCCAAGTCCTTAACTTTTAATTTTCAAGTCATAATCAAGTCATCTGTCCAACTTCAATTTAACGACAATGATAATAAATAAATCCCAGAAATAAATCTTCTTGAAGCTTAATTAGCTCAAACAAGCAGAAAGTGCAACTGAAACTGGTTTTAAACAACGTGCTGCTGCAGTTAGCAGAACAACTTCTTCCGGCTCTTGGAGAGTACAGATGCTTTTTTCTCCTCTCCTCCCTCCTCTTCCCAAGGCTCTCTGTCCTGTCTTGTGTGCACGGCGCTTCTCTGCATTTTTTCTGGAAACTGGAAATTACTAAAATGGACCTGGTCCGTTGGTCTCAACGCGATTGACAAGATTTTTTCAACGATGAGAACGGGAGAAGGGGCTCCCGAATGCCCCTCTGGGACAGAGCCAGCTGGACATATCATGGACTCCTGGAAACAGCGGAACCTGATCTGCCTCTCCCAACTGTCTGTAGAGGATTCTGAAGATGTTTGGATATTCGTCGTTTTGATGTCGGGATTCCTGCTGTTTGGCCTGAGCGGTTACCTGGCTTACCGGAAAATTTACAAGCTTTCGAAGAATATTGGCTCAATCCCGGAGCTCAGGGATGGAATGCATCGCGCTGTGTGAACTCACAAACTCATATAATTGTCGAGATGATTCGTAAGCTTGGAACTTTGGCTGAGATTCAGGCTCTGTCACAGAAGGTGGATTCCATCAAGGAGCGAGTTGACGGATCAGCACGGATTGGGACTGATTACTTACGCCATTATTGGATCTAGACGGGTTGTAGACCAACAGAACTCTAAGGCAGAGAGGAAATTATTTCTGTCTGTACTCAAAACAATTCTTATCTGAATCTGGTGCCCTTGAAGCCTGTGAGGCTGAAGTGTAAACTCCCCCCTCAGAAGAAATGTGGAATGCTGCTGTTGCTATGGAAACTCTTTCACCCTATCCCAGCCTGGGTGGGACTGTGACCGTTGAAAGCCGTGGAACCGTATCTAGGAGTCACTGTGCTCTCAAACCCATTATCTCCCTCCCCTGTCCAAACGGAGGTGATGAGCGCTGCCCCATGTGGCTGCAGGCACTGAAGTGAGGAGAGTCCCAACCCTACCTCCCCACCTAGTGGACACTTATGTTGTGTAATGTCTGAAGTCTGAGTGCATATCTGTCTGAGGTGTTTTTTTGCATAGCAAAGCTACCATTCTCCTTGGAGGGTAACTCTGAAGTGCCTTTTTTTCCCTCCTCCTGACTCTATCCTCATAAAAACCCTCTTATTTCTATTAAGGTAGTGTGACTCGGGTTGCGAATGACCACAGTCACCAATTCTTGTCACGTGTCTATGTATGCATGTCTGATCTCAGAATTGTGTGTACCGAAACTCTAATTCCCCTCTGGGATTAATAAAGTATTTTTGAATTGAATTTTGAATTTGAACAAGATCCAACCCAGAAGGATTTATGATGTTTGTCCATGTCGTGCCACTTTTGTGCTAAAATATCAAATATGCTCAAGTCATCATCAAGTCAACAGATGCAAGTCAAGTCAAGTCGTAAGACTTTATAGATTTTATCAAGTCAAAAGTCATTAAAATAACGACTCAAGCCAGGTGTATCCCCCCCCCCCCCAAAAAAAAAATCTGCATGTATATAATTTTGACTGAGAACAGAATCTGATTCTGTCTGCAGATGATGGTCAAATCCTGAGCAGCTCCGACATCCCTGCGCCTCCCTTTGTTAGCTTATATTGACTTTAGTCATTGTGTGAGCCTTTTCTCCTGTTCCTCCTCTTCCTCAGCAGACGTCGACCTGCAAACTCCTTCAGCACCTCGCCAGAAACCAGCGAGCCTCCTTCTGGGGTGTGTGCGGAGGTCCGGGTTCCATCCACAGCGCTGCATGTGTTTGTGAGTATTCAGTTCTTCGTCTCAGCTGCTGAGCTGGTAGAACAGGCAGTGATGTCTCATTAAGTAGAGCCTTTAAAGATCAAAGTCACCACGTTACCCCTTCAGAAGTTCTGTAGCGAGTACGGAGCCCATTCGGAGCGATCTGTAAAGGTGTGACGCAGAAGCGCGGTGGCCACTAAGTCACCAGTGGAAAGTAAATCGCAATAATAAATACGGGATGAGAGGAAAACAATTTTATATCAACTGGAAAACTTGGAGACCATGAGGCGTGAATCTTCTCTTGTCTCCCGATAAGATTATTGGGTAAACGATTCGATTCGATATCCCGATGCATCACGATTATTTCTTATTGATTTGTTTTTATCGATAAATAGAAGATGTCAAATAATTGCTTTTTTTTCATTTTTATTTATTTTTATCAAAAACGTAATCGACACAGCCTGCTTCCTCAAAAGCTCTCCGTTCACGACAGGTTAGGACAGAACATTTTTAACATTTAAGAAGATTTAACAAAGTAAAAACCATCTGTTTCCTCGTTCCAACACCACGCCTCAGGCTGAGAAAAACACGCTTCGAAAAAAGTACTGACAACCTACAGGACACATAATGTACCGTAATTTCCGGACTATAGAGCGCACCTCAATATAAGCCGCACCAACAAAAAAAAAAGGGTTTTCTACACACACACGCCGCACTCAAATACAAGCCGCGGCGCAGCAGCCACATGCAGGTCTCCGGCGCATGTACGGCCATAACGTAAGATAATTAGACAGGAAGACGCTACACAGAGGTTTTTCGTTGTTGTTTTTATTCAACAAAACGAGTTTTATAATAATAAAAATGCACACAAAACATGCCTGGTTAGTAAATAAAACACACTTGCCTACCAGAAGAAGTCATTCGCTCTCATCTTCCTCCTGCACACTGAAGCCATTAAAGTCCTCTTCTTCAGTGTCGGAGTTGAACAGCCTCAGAAGAGCTTCGCCACATACCTTTTCTGCGGCGATGTCCGTGTCGCTGTCCGTGTTGCTGTCATCATCCCCGGGTGAAGCTGGCTTGAATGAGTTCTTCCCGCTGCCGACTCCAGCGCCGAACCATGGATTCATTCATGCCAAGCTTACGTGCGGCAGCGCTGTTTCCTTCTTTCGATGGCCTTCACCTTAAATGTGGCATCATATGAACTCATACGTGTAGTTACCACGATGAGGGGGTATGGGTTTGAAACAAATTCTTCGTTGTGCCGGCTGCTTGCATGTGCTAAATTCAAATGAGCATTTTCTTCGATTTCCACTTTTGACTTCCACCTGTTTCACTTTCTGCTAAAGCGCCCCCTAGTGGCAGGTGAAGGAAAATCTCCAGTAAAGCCGCACGGTTCAAAGCATAGGGAAATAGTAGCGGCTTATACTCCGGGAAATACGGTATTAATAAAATACATAATGGGTTCATATATGAGTGTTTAATGTCTCTGAGCAGCTCTAGAGTCAGATATTTATGCCGCAGTTGAAGGGTGTCAGAAATAACACCAAATGAAATGTTTGACTTAGTTTATTTTATTTGAACCCAGCGGTTCGTTTCTGAAATGTTGGAGAATGAATCAAGTTCTGTTTGATGCAGAAAATAATAAAACATAAAACAAATTCTACACTTCCAATAATATTTAATATGTGTGTTTTATTCTTGCTGATAATAACACCAGCAGAAGGCTGTGGGCTGGATTAGGATTAAATTACCCAGCTGATGGATCTCCTTCACAACCAGCTAACTACAAACTTTTCCACTAACCTGTCTTGTGTGACCCTCACCATGTGACCCTCATGTCCATGCTGTCTCTGGAGGAGCAGATAGGAGACAAGACCTCCTGTAACCTAAAATGAACCAAAGCTTCCTCCCAGTTTCTCTTTAAGCTGAATTTAACATCAGTTTATCATCATGAAACAAAAGAATAAAGCGGAATAAAAACTTCAATTTCTCTCTCCTTTTAACTTCTCCGTGTCCCTAAATAAAAGAGACAGAAGATCACGCTGAAGCCGCCGTCATTGACCCCGCCCCCTCCCCAAGACCGGACCTCCCAGCACCACAACACTCGGTCTGACTGAGCGCTTCCAGGAGAAATAATAATTAAATAATGAAAATAATAATGCGTGTTTGGAGGAGCGTCCTCAAATCCTCTCTCTCTCTTGTGTGAGCACACCTCTCTCTCTCTCTCTCTCTCTCTCAGTCGCTGATCGAGCGAGCGAAGCGCGCAGCATGACGACCCGCTCAGTTAACATAATTCACGGCCCAAATCCAACAGAACCGGTCGGGCTGATTCGGCTCCGGTTCGGTCTCAGGTTACAACTCTAGGCTCAGCCCTGCAGAACCACATTAAGGCGGAGGTAAATGTGGAGGACGCTCACTCTGACAGATCTGGACGCTGCACTGGTGCCGCCGTTAAAAAACCAAAACTACGTTCCACTATAATCGATGATGGCGTACTCTTCTACGATGCAGAATCGTTTTTGTCCGCATCCTGATGCATCGATTATTTGATTATTGTCCTCAGCTCTACTACATAGACTAGTCACTCATTTTAGACCATGAATCTGTTTCCGTGGTTTTCCGGTCTCTTTGTTTTAAACTATGGTTGCAGCTACTAAAGCAGAGGTGCCCAATCCTGGTCCTGGTCGGGTTTTAGAATTAACCCTGCTTCTGCACACCTGATTTCAATCAGCTGGTGATCAGCAGGCTTCTGCAGATGAGCTGCTGCACAGGTGATTCAACCAGTGACTCAGGTGTGGGAGCTGAGAAACCCCACAACCTTCTAGCAGCCCTCCGGGACCGGGACTGGGCGCCCCTGCGCTCAAGTATCTGTGATGAAACTGCTTTCAGTTGCAGGTTTGGGTGGATTTCTGTTTTAATGCTAATAAAACCTCCTAAAGTTAACTTATGAACCAAATCTGTACATTTAAACCTGCTCCTGTGTTCCACCAGGACGCCCACGATGGTGAGGTGAACGCTGTGAGGTTCAGTCCCGGCTCTCGTCTCCTAGCAACAGGGGGCATGGACCGCAGGGTGAAACTCTGGGAGGTGGTTGCAGGTGAGTGACACCTGCGTACACGCTGGTACAGGAACTAACACTCGATGAAGGTCAGTGATGAGAAGTAAAAGGTCTGATTACCCACAATCCTCCGCTGCCTCTGGCTCCCAGCAGCCTGCTTTCTCATCCCATCATGCTCCAGTGATGCAGCCATGGGCCCAGCAGCTGCTGACACTCAGGATGTGACATCACCGAGAGGCTGAAGTGAGACCCCACAGCCTCTCTGTGGTGGAGGCTGACATCCAACACAACCAATCAGGATGGAGCATCAGGCAGAGGAGGAGGAGGGAACTGATCTCAAGTTTTCAACCTGAGACCTTCATTTCAGGGACAATTAGAGCTCTGGCTGTTCCACGTTGACCCGTCTGTGGCGGCTGGGCAGGAATCTGGGATCGCTGATTCCCAGTATTAGAAACTGGCTGAATGTGGAGTGTCGCCTCTCCGGTGGGTGGAAGGTGAAGAGCAGCACCAACGAGAGACTCGCCTCTCGTCATAGCTTAGAACCCAACTCCTGCGCTGAACCCTGGCGGTGTAGGTATTTGCTGAGCGTCCGCTCTCCAGTAAGCAAGAGGGACTCCTCGCTTCGGCTACAAGCGGACCTGTTAGCTCCACCGCCAGATTTAGAGGTTAAAGGTCAAGTTCACGGAGACCATTTTTACTCACCTTTTTAGATTTTTGTTCTTAACCCGCTGGGGTCCATGGACGCGTATCCTCGTCTTTAGAACAGGTCTGATTTGGGACGCTGTAGCAGCAAGACTCCGCCTCCCTGAGTTTCGGTTTCAGTTCAGCTTTAAAAAGGAGAATATAACCTACACCCCAGTTTTTAAATTGTGTTAATAGGCAACATAAAAGCGGAGTTGTACTAAACTAAAAAACGACCTATTTTTAGACAATCTGATAACTTGTCAAAACAGCAGTTTAGTAATCCGTGAGGGAATGTGCTCGTGAACATAAAACAACCACAAAAACATGAGATCCTTTTGCTGTTGGTGGACGTCTCACATATGCAACTGATAAAAAGTATCATTATGTAGCTGAGAGAGAGGAAGGCCGCACGAGTAACGAGATGTGCGCAAAAAGGAGCCGCTTCGCGGGGACAGGAGTGGTGCGAACAGAGTAACAACAAACAATTAGACAGATATTGTCGGTAAACTTCATATTTTGGAGCGATCCGGACAGATATATCGTCTCTGCAGTTTAGTAGGCTTTTATTAGGCTTTAATAAAGGATGATGAGAAGGATAAATGTCCACCAGGCAGTTCAGATAGTACGTCTGTTTTTTGAACTAGAAGCAGAGGAAGTGGACGGAGACTCGCAGCCGGAGTCTGAGGCAAATAGCGAGGATGTTGATGTCGATGTGGCAGATCCATCCTTCCTCATAGAAGAGTTGGGTCATGATGAGGTAGAGGATGAAGGCAGAGATCCAGCTCCTCGGAGATCCAACAAGAGGAGTGGGCGGCGCCGTGCAGCTGACAGAGCCACACCGAAATGCATGTACATTATTGCCAAATTAATAAAATAAGTATAAATTCAGATCGTCCCAGTTGTCCTGAAAAAGATGATACCCCCTAAGGCAATATTTATTGTTTTTATTAGAAAATACAAAAGAAATACCAAAATGAGTCAAAAACGGTGATTTACGCCCTGGACCCCAGAGGGCTAATAATTGTTTAAAAAAATTGTTATTTGCTATATTCATATTTTTTATAAATGTACAATCTAGATTACCATTCTAAATTATAAAAAACATTCGTCATAAATGTTTGTTGGTTTCACAGTAAAATAAGCAACTTTTTTCCTATTCAGATTTTATGTTTTTGAGTGATTTAAGGTCTAATATGCAACCTCTTTATGCCCAAATGTAAAAAATAAGTATAAATTCATAAAGTCCAGGTTGTGCTGAAAAGATTGATGCCACATAAGGCAGTGGTTGTGGCTTTTATTTTGGAAATACAAAGGAAAACTCGTCAAAAACGGCAAGTTACACCCTGGACCCCAGAGGGTTGAGCACCTCGTGATTTTTATCTCGAGTCACTCTGAGTTTCACCTGCAGGCCGGACGTCTCTCACCCTCATTTCCCAGATTAGCTTCTGATAGAAAATGGACGGTGAAACTCTCGCATTAGAAAAGCCCGACAGATCCACGTCACGCTGTTGCGTAACATTCACGGACTCGCCTGTCTTGGCTCACGACGGAGAGGCTGGTGTTGGTTTAGCGTCCAGGAGAGCTAGTATAAGCTAATCGGTAGCAGTAGCAACTCCGCAGCTCAGCAGAACTCCTCCAGGCTTGTTATTTGTGAAGATTAAACATCAACGAAAAGCAAACTGAGTTGCTTTGCTGTTATCCAATCAGAGGAGAGATGTTTGAAAATCAGGAAAGAAGAATCCAAATCGTGTCATCTTCTGCTTGGCCCTCGCTCTGGTAGTCTCGGTGCTCGTTCATCTTAACCTCCACTACGTCCTGAGGAGCTGTCGGTTCAACATGCAGGCGGCAAAGTCATGTTAAAGTGTCTGATGCTGTAACACACATGCCGATCCGACGATGAATGGTGATTGGACAGAACATTGTCTCACTTCTAGTTCCTGAAACGAGAGCGCCAGAGCTTTTTTTCCCCCCACAGAGATCAACTCGGGGCTTTCATTTCTGCCAGAGATGCTGCAGACGTGTTGGTGTGAAGAATTTGATGGATAGATGGTTAAAGTACAATTTAAGCTAGAGTGACTTATGCAGCACTGTAGCTTTCGGTGATGGAACAGATGCTGGCTCATTACCGTACGATAAGGAAGCAGAGTACGCTAACGGGCAGTAAAAATGCGTCGGCAGCTGTTTCTCAGAACAATTCTGTGTTTCTGTGTGAGTCCAGGCCGCTGTGAGCCCAAAGGAGCGCTGACCGGCAGCAACGCAGGAATCACCAGCATCGAGTTCGACAGCGCTGTAAGTCTCCGCTCCTGCTGAGTCACATGGTCCAAGGCTTATGAGTCGAGCACCGATACATCAATAGCACTGTTTAGCTTCAGAGAACCAGGAGGAAGGGCAAAATGATTCTAGTTTGTTTATAACTGCAGATTCTAACCCAAACACCAGAACCAGAACTGGACTTTTCATGCCAGATCATCGACATATCAATATTGGACAATGGGTTTCCATAGACTCCAATAACACGTTTTTGAGGCTAAATGGGAGGTGGCCACCACGGCCATTTTGACCGTGTCACAGGTTCCGTCAAGCCCAGACAATTCCACAAAAGGGAAGAGAGGTGGAGCTGAGGGTGGGGCTGTAAGGCTGGGATCAACTGACGACACCCGGTCGAACTAGCTACAAGCTAACCCAAAGCTAACGCGGAGGTGGCAGCTAAACTAACGGAGGTAGCAACCTAGCTACAACCGGAGTTAACTGTGCACAACACCAGAGCTTCTGAGTCAGAGATACGCCGGGCTGACCGCTGGGTAAAACCGGGTGGAAAGGTTTCCATCCCAGAGCTCCACAAGCCGTCTCCCGCGCAGCAGACAGAAGCCGCGATCAGACAGAGATGCGCCGAGCTGCGGGGAGGGGAGAACGGGTGGAAAACATCGGTCTCCCGAGAGCTCCACAAGCCGATAGTGGGAACCCAGCTCCACCAACATGTTATATTTCAACCCATTTTCTAAAGTGCAGCATTGTGTTAAATGCACTGGGTTTTACCCTATTACATTTAAATTTCATGGTTAAACAGTACATGTTAAAATCTAAGCTCAGCTCGGCAGTGACCTAAAATACATAAATATAATTTTACTTACTGAAAAAAATGAAGTGGAGCCTCCTTGGACGCTCTATTAGTGCAATTAATGCCACAGCAAGTCATTTTGTCCAACAATTGCACAAAAATATCCAAAAAAGAATACACAAACACAGAGACTCAAAATCCCGGAGCAGTTTCCAGGCCAGACCGAGGCTCTGCTGAGGCCTTTCCCCGGAGCTAGCTCTGTGGTCACGTGGGTCTGATGCTCATTAATTATACAGAATTTTAGGCTTTTAATACACTTAAACAGAAGAGTGAGAAAAAAATTCACCCCCCTCAGAGTTGTCATGAGTGTAAACCAGATCATTTAAACCAAAAACATGTTTTGGTACCAGGCTGTAAACATGTTTATTTCTGCTGTGAAATTGGTATTTTTAACATGGGAGTCAATGAGGATTTGCTCGCTTCTGATGTCGCGTGCCCGTCCCATTTACCGGTTCCTTTGAAAACCCAGTTCCGTTAGAACTTATGAGACGGTGCATCCATCAGGGTTCGGGGGTGTATCGACGAGTATAATCGTACCAGACCCGGGTTTGGACTACCTAATTAGAATCTTGCCTTTTATTTTAAAGGTGAAATGACTTGCACGAATAGCCAGCCCCAGAGTACTACACTTCTTTTAAACTCGTTACCTTTTGGTTAAGATACTAGAGAGAAGTCTGGAGGCAAGCCAAGCCTCTCAGCAATTATTTGGGTTACCCGGAATTAATTGCGCCTCTAACAGCTTATGTGGGAGGTTGGTAACTATAAAATGATTTATGCTAGTTGATCAGGCTATCATAAGTTTATCAATTTATTTATTAATCCAACCTTCCAGCTGATTAGAGACTTTTTCAACCTGCAATCAGAGCCAAAATAACCTCGAATATTTTGCTTTTATCGCCCTTAAGACAACTCGTTACTCGCAAGGAGGGGAAAGTTAAAACTTCCCTTATCTTAAGGTTTCTTTATATTATTCTGTTATAAACTGTAAAGTAAGTCCTGATAATTCAGAGACCGATCTTCGACATGCTTACCTCTGTGCAATTATGGCCAGGGCCCCAAACGTGAAGCTTTAGAGAAAACCTGAAAGAATCAGGATTATGTTTCTTTTTCAAAAAAGTTCTATTACAAAATCAAAATACAAAAAATGGGTAAAGTGAAAAACAACTGCTATCCCCCACGGAGGAATTAGTTCAAAATGATTAAATAAGAGTTAGTTTACACCAGCTCCTGTCTTCTCAGAATCTCCCCAAGAACCAAGCCCTGCTCGATCTGAGCTGCATCCTTTTATATCATTTCTGAGACTGCTCTAAACAATGTAAGAGTCACAAGTCATTCTCTCCTGACAGTTTAGGTCAAGGGGTCATTTACCAGATACACTTTTTTAGCTCTACATAAGACATTTGGTATCATTTTCACTACATGCAGTATTCACATGAGGGCACAAAAGTTACATGCTGCACTCCTGGAATGAGAGCACAGGTCATAAATCTTCATGTTGGTAGCAAATTGTAGATCTTCCTCCAGCATTCCTGAGAGCTTCTGGGTCCAGTTGGACTTTCCTCACTCCATGCCAGTCCTTCTTTTCCCGCCAGAGGTGGAGTTAGGTGCGGGCCCAGGGGTGTGTCCATGGGTGGATCCAGAGAAGACAGCCTGTCTTTTGACCCTTTGCCTAGTTCTGTCCTCACCAGCAAGTCCTGAACTATTGTCCTCTTGACCCTTGTGTGACCCTTGTCTCTGACCACTGTTTCTAAGCCTTGACCGATTGCTCGGACTTGCAACATCCCCCATGGGGACGAACTGAGGCAAAGGACCATAAAAAGATAGAGCAGCAATGCAAGCCTTCATAAATCTAGCATCCATCTCACTCAGGAACGGCTGAACACACAGACACCTAACTGTGGCCTCCACATCAACCCTCATTCTCATCATAATGCCATCATCAGCTACGGGTAAGCACAAGGTCCCTTTGCGGGTTGTTACATAACCTTTAAACTGCTTTCTCCCATCTGTGGGATCTTCACCCAAGAAGAATAAAGATAAATCCATCACCGGAGCTTCTCCACGTGGAAGCGATCCCATCATTTGAGGTGGGAAGCTGGCGCTGAAAACCAAAACATGATTTTCCGTATCCAACAAAGGTGCGGTCCCAAAAGAGTCACAGACTTCTGGGCCGAACCATCCAGTCTTTACAGACAAAATATTCATAAACTGAAAGCAATCTATAATCTTGCCTTGACAAACAAAGTAACACCCCTTCTGGGATTTAATCCTCCATCTCATTTCTCTCCCAGGTGCAATTCGGACAGGGGAAGGAATGCCTGCTGGCTCACTACTTAGACAGACCATAGGGATTTCACGTATCACATCAGGACACGGGACGCATGTCGAAGCTGCCGTCATTACTGATACAACCTCTTCAGCCACGTCAGATGAGGGCGCCGTTGTCAGCTCCTCGTCGTGGGCCTTCTCAAGCAGGGCATGTACTCCCGGGGAGGACAACATTAGTATGTCGTCTTCCTGATCAGTCTCCCGCTTGAATCCCTTTTCCATTTGGTCTGGACGTACTGAATAAACCTGCAAGACACGCAGCGTTTATTCATCGTAGCATGTTCACACTGGAGCCCGATCGTCTTAGTCTGAGGCAATCCATCCCTCCCGCGATTCACGGTGCACAAATAGTGTGTGCCATTCAGAGAGAAAACAGTTGATGGACCTGTGGAGGGGATTAATCCCTCTATGATATTCTGCCGAATCGAGTCCATCTGGAAGGAACATAAAATATGTTCCACATGAGATATATAACTCATTCCATGAAGCAGTAAGTAACTGCATTACTGCATAAACACTTCTTAATTATAGGAGAAAATAAATCATCAGAAGCTGCAGGAAGAACCACACTACAATTCCTATCTGCAGGCATAGTTTTACAACAATAATCCTCACAACAAGTGTACACCAGTTATGAAATGTCTACAACATCCTAAAGACAAACTGGATAAAATAGTTACAAAATCCTGACATACCTCCAGATTCAGAGCGTCAATCAGCTCAGATTCAGGGTGAGTTTGATGAGCCATTTGTTCACCTCAAGTTACAGACTGACAGTTAAGGAGCAAGTGACACGCGGTGCAGAGAGGCCTGCACTTAAACAGGAGCAACAAGAAGGGGGGCTAATGCTCCCTCTACCTTGACACCTCTCTTCCCATCTTATCTGGATCTACCAGGTCCTTTTTCCTTTCTCCTAACAGCTTTCTTCCTGTCAACTGCCACTTGTTGTTTTTACAGGCCAAAATCATACCGATTATTATACCAATGCGTAATATTTCCTGTTTGCCAGGAACTTAAACTACTGTCTTTGGTCTGAAAACACCCAAATTCGATTCTACGAGGCCACCACCTTTCTATCTTTATCACTTTGAAAGTGGTGAAGTTGTGTCCCCATTCTAAATTATTTCTAAGGCAATATTTGTAAACCCACAACTCTACTTCACCTGAAGTTTGATTTAAGATTTTCTTTTTCCTTAATATTATCTGACAAGATCGATCAAGCTCTGTGGATCCTGTCTGATCCATTAAGACTGCCATATACTCCGCCCATGGGCCGGTCTCACCACACTCCGTGTCATTCTTCTCCTCCTGCTCTGCTGCAGAAAATGATGTCACGGAGGGTGTAGCCATGATCCGGTCAAATCCATTTTCTCCACAGGGCAAGCGCAGGCAACCAGTTTTGTTCCCTGTTACACTACAAATCTTGAATCCAATCTGTGTTGCTATCATGCAGGTGGTTATATTCTCATTAAAATCTTCTTTGGGCCATAACAGCTTAATTTTGGATACATTCCAATTCCCTACTAATTGTTGCGGTCCTCCGTGAGTTATGTTATATGTCACCGAGGACACATGATACGTTCGGAGATATACATGTACCCCATATGCAATCGCTATACTTAATCCTATGAGGCTAAATTCGAAAAGGATAAAAAAGGCCCATTTAATCCATTTTATTATCCAATTCTTTCCTTTCGGAATATTCACATTTTTCTTTTTAACTTTGGGGTCAACTCCCGCCGGAGTTGCATACCTGACCACTTTTCGTTTTCTGCTGCTTTCCCTCTTATGCTTCTGAGGAGACAACATCTGCAAGACAGAAGCATAAAAATCAGCAGGAAAT